AGTGCAATTTGTTCCCAAGACACATTATGTGTTCAGTGTTGGAAAAGATCGCCTAGTAAAATATTGGGATGCTGATAAATTTGAGCTATTGTTGACTCTAGAAGGACATCATGCTGATATTTGGTGTCTTGCTGTCAGTAATCGTGGGGATTTCATTGTCACTGGATCTCATGATCGTTCTATCCGTCGCTGGGATCGCACTGAAGAGCAGTTTTTCATCGAGGTATGAGATGGTTTACAGTTGTTAAATGCTGAACAAAGGGTCCATGCCTCTAATTACAAATTGATTACAGGAATACTTTTGATAGAATTTTCTGCATCCTAGATTAAATTTATGTCACTGGAATGAGATTAGATCATTTGAACTGCAGGAAGAAAAGGAGAAACGGTTGGAGGAAATGTTTGAGGCTGATCTTGACAATGCATTTGAAAACAAGTATGCATCAAAGGAAGAAATACCAGAGGAGGGAGTGGTGGCTTTAGCTGGGAAACAAACCCAGGAAACCCTTTCTGCAACTGACTTAATTATTGAAAGATTAGATATTGCCGAAGCTGAAAAAAAGCGTCTTGCAGAACATCAGGTTTACATGTGTTCCCTTGTAGATGACTACCACAGTCTAAACTGATGCTTTATCTTAAAAGTGAATTTTGGAAAACTTGCTTGCATAGTTCGTTACATGCTTTAAATAGATAGACACCCATGCATAAACAAATGTGTTTTTAACAAGTATGCTAGTCTCTACAGTGTTCCGTACTTGGTGACTACCTTGCTCTAAACTGGTTCTTCATCTAGAACTGAATCTGGAAATATGCTTGCATGGTTAGGAACATATATGCAATAGATGGATACCCATGCATAACCACAATGTCTTTTTAAACAAGTGTGCTATCCTCTACAGTGTACAAGTCCTCTGTGTAGCGCCTCTATAATAGAGAATTAATGGCTGAGAGGCTGCAGGGATTCTTTATTTTGCAAAACATGTATAGCAATTTAAGGTTAGACTGAACTTTAGTGACGTTAGTCATTTGTGTTATTATCTTAACAAAGTTTTCCTCTCTTGATTTCCGCAACTAATTATCAAGTTATAGAAACAACACAAGTAAACAATTTGTCCTTGGAAATATATGTATATAAGAAGTTCAATATGCCTTGTCCCACTAGGTAGGGTTAGTTACACCAAATTACTCCCTTGGGTTCTATAAAAACTAAAATTTCAATAAATACGTGTAGTTTGGATGCTTGCAGAAAATATCTTCAAGTCATCTTGTGTGACGTGTAGCAGTAAGTACTAAGGAAGACTTTCTTGTATATTTTGTTTTTTAATGCATAATGTTGTTGTTTCAATTATTTGATTTTGTATTTTAGGAGAAAAATAACATAATTACACCTTTGGGTTCTATCAAAAGCTAAAATTTCAATACTATCATGTAGAATGGATGATTGGAGAAAATATCTCCAGTTCGTCTTGTGTGACACATGTAATAGAAAGTGCTGATGAAGGTTATCTTGCATATTTCGTTTTGTTTAACAATGCCTAATTTAATTGTTGCGATTACTTGAATTTGTATTTCAGGAGGAGAAAAATAACAGAACTGTTGCTGTTTTTCAATCAAATCCGCTAATGAATGGGCTTTCACCTTCTGATTATGTTCTTAGTGCATTTTCAAATGTTCACTCCAATGATTTGGAGCAAACATTACTGGTATGTTTGAGAATTGCATTTTTATTCCATGTTTTCATGCATGAATATAGGGCATTCAGACTACTGTATTTATGCACAGTGCATTTTTTGTTGTTGTTAATAGGTTAATCTCACTTTTAAGCCATTGCTTTGAATGTGCACTAGCCTATATTGAGTTGGTTGAACTTCTTGATCCAGTCTGCATGTGTCATTTATCATCTTTATTTGTTCTTACTTCTTTGTTCCTTTATCTATATATTCAACCATTTATGGAGAAAGTTAAAAATATCTTGACCCTTTCTATGGAAATTGGGCTTGGTTAAATTTTCTCACCCACTCTATCTGGTCTAATATATTTTATCCAGATCATAATATTTGCGCATATCATATTTAGTTTTTAATTTGTTTAGAGGCAAAACGTTCAGGGGCCCATTTGGGGTAAACAACATAACTAAGGACTTATTGAGTAAGTGCTTACACTTGAGAAGAAAATGTGAGAATGAATTCTTAAGAGATGATTATCTCTCTGCAGATTCTTGCACACACACACACACACACACACACACATATATATATATATATATATATATATGAGTTCTTACATCAAAAATACAAATGGAAGATATAAAAAGAACACACCTAGAATTCTAGATGACAGATTAGCACAATCAGAAAAGATAAGGGTTGGAGTGTTTTAAGGGTTGCACTTTAAACCTAGTGGGAAACCAAAAACAAAGGTTTAAACAAAGACAATAAAGGTCAACAAAACCTATGAAAGAAGCACAACATTACTCTGTTGACTAGAAGGTGGCATGTGGGTTTCATGTGCCTGGTTGGAGTGTGCACAACCTTTTTAGCTTTCCCAGTGTTGGTCAAAAAACAAGTTAAACTATTCTAACACTTACTATGTAAGGACATGTTGAACTAATATTGTTTTTATAGTCAAGAAGAAATAAGCTCTAACTATTTTAGTAAGCTGTTCCAAAGAACTTGTTGAAATAAGCTTAAAAAAACAACATATGGGTTTATCATTATAAGTTTCCTCAAACATTTACACCAGTGCTTGTCATAAGACAAGTCCAAATAAGCTGTAAATATGCTCTTTGAAACAATTTACAAATATTTCTTCTGTTAATCTAATCCAAATTACATTAATAATATTATCAAACTTGTTACTAGTTATACATTCAAGTTCATGTCTTGGGGTAGTTTGCTGAGTTTACAAGTTCAAGCTTCACTATACCAAAACAAAGTTCAGCCTTTCTTTTAAATTGATATAAATTCATTAGAGACGAGAACCCTATGGTAATTCTTTTCATTTATTGTTTTGATAATTTTTTGCGGTAGTTAAGGTGCTCAATAGAAAACAATTACTTAACATTGATTATAAAACTCTCTGGTATTAGAAGTCAGTATTTCTATAATATATATATATATATATATATATATATATATATATATATATATTATTTCATTAAACAATTAAATGGTCTATAGAAAAGCATCTATGCATCTATTTTAGTGGAATGGCCAATAGGCGTGTACTTAGTGTCTTTTTATTTTTTTTATATTCTGACCCAAAATATATAATATAAATAAACATTAGCTATATTTGACACAGTTTTCATGTCTAAGTGTTGCAATCACTAGAAAATGGTAGCTATGTTTGATTGACTTTGAAAAAATATGTACAAATCTAGCCTAATGTATATCATTACTTTATGCAGGCTTTACCATTTTCAGATGGATTGAAGCTTATGTCGTACTTGAAAGACTGGACTTCATATTCTGATAAGGTTACCCTGGATATATGACAAACTACATTATCAGACATAATGATGATTAATTTTACAATAATAGATTATAGATATTTACTTCAGGTCGTAAAGATATTTTCACAATATGAGTATTTATGTTCTTTTGATAATTGCAGGTTGAGCTTGTTTGCAGAATCGGTACGCTACTGATGCAGACACATTACAACCAGCTTCTTGCCACACCAGCTGCCCGACCTATCTTGACTGTTTTCAGTGACATTTTTTATGAAAGGGTCAAGGTAAATATGCTAGGTTTTTATGTTTTCTAAACAAAATTGGTGCTTTGCATACTTGGTACATGGAAATTTTGCTGCCAGAAAGCATGTTTTAGATTTGAATTGATTGATAAATTATATAAGTTTAACATGTCTGAGTGTGGAATCCCTGTGAAGAATTTGACGATACTTTTGGAATGTTTGTTTCGTTGGTTGCACATAAATTTATTGGTATTGGTATGTAATTCTGTGATACATTTTTGCTGTGAAAGTTTGGTTTGAAAAAGTGGACGGGATATGCGTTATGTCCCATACTCAAACTCTTTCGAAATTGCTTGAATAAAGTGTCGGATAAAATTAGAGCAAGTGAAATAGATCTTTTTGAAGGATGATGAAACACTAGCTGAACTAGACAAAATTGCTCTTTTGATGATTCGTAATTATCTCTTATTCTAATGTTTGAGATGCATGGAATGCATGTACACATCTTATGCATATTATAGGCTTCTAAGTCTTCAGACGGCATACTGTCATATCTAACAGGCACCCTACGGACGCATACGATGTTTCACAAGAATACGATATCTAATAATTATGGGTGACAATCTTAATATAAATAGTATTACTTGTTTGTTGTCAATTTGAACTTGTAGGTCCCCCGATAATTTTAATATTTAATTTATCATTATCCAGCTTTTACTTTAGTACTACAGAATATCTTCTGCCAATGAAGGCAATTAGTCATACTCAAAGGATTTCTATTTCTTAATTAAATATTTATGTTATTTCGGTATTTTCAGTATAATGAACTGATGAACTTGACTGTATAATTGACGACTTGGTGTCTTAACCTTGTGCTAGGGATGGAAAGATATCTTTGGTTTTAATCTTGCAGCCATGGATCATATTCAGGTTTGTATCAAAGATTATGCCAATCAGTTATTCACCACTTAAAAGCAACCTGATTCAATTTTGAAATCATCTTTCAGCAAATGATGGCTTCAAGATCAGATGCTCTTTTTCATGATGCAAGATCAAAACTGCTAGAGATGCGTGCTCGACAAACCAAACGTTTAGGAGAAAGGTCAGATACTGGAGAAGTGAAGCGGAAGAAGAAAAAGGCATAAAGTATCGTGTATATTTGGACGTGGTATTTCAATCACGGTGGAAAAATTGGATCCGCTGGAATGTGATTGATGAAGCATTGCATATTCAGAGCAAAGTTGTCATACATACATGATCAACGAAAAGAAAATGATGAGTAGAGGTTGGATCACCAGAAAGGCTTATGACCTTGTCAACACGATTCCTTTTTTCAGCGGCTTATATCTTGATGTCATCAATTGAAGAGGAAGTTTTCACAGTATATTTACTATTACTGATTTCGGAAGCTCAGAAAAAGGTCTTCACTTATTTATATTGTATTATGTGTAAACGTTAGAAATTTTGGCTAAATTTAATTCATTATACGTCTTTTTTTTTTCTCACGTTATTTACTCTGTTGGTGAGGAAATTTTTTCCCGTGTAATGTAAGCGCGTGCCCTGTTAAGTCGACAAATTGTGTGTACGTGTCTATATATAAAGAGAGACTTTAGAAAAATAAAAAACTTAATTTTTGTTGAATGTAATACACCCGTTCAATATATTATTTTGAATTGAAGTATTAAAGTTTACAAGAGTATAATTTTTTATTTTCTACCTTCTCTCTAAAGACTGTTTTCTTATACATATTCTCTTCTAACTTCAACATATTAGAATGGTATAATCCTGTGATCTATTTTATTATAGGAAAAATGGAAATTATAAATATAAACTGTTAGATCATATATGTCGACTAGCACCGAACATAAACTAATAAAAACTATAACAGGCTAATTTAAATATGTAACAAATAAGTCAATAATTATATATATGATACTGGGACAATATTTATCTCATACATGCAAGGTAATAAATATCAAGATATATTAAACGGTGCATTTTGATAAAAATAGAAAAGACTCGATTAATTGTTTCTTCAATTTTCATAACATTAGTCAATTAACAAAATAAGTTGATAAGTAAATTAAGAGACTTATATAAAAGTAATAAATATAATTTATAAGAATTAAAAATTATTTTCGTAAGTTTAACAAAGTTCTCGCAAAATCTTCTAAACGCTCAATTGAGGGGAAAACTAGAATTTTTTTCTTATTACATGGATTGATCTAATTAAATTGAAACAGATTATTGATATTTCATTGATGTCTTTTTATTTTTGAGAAATACATCATACATGTCTAAAAAATGTTACTTAAGAGTAATATTTCTGTGGACTGAATTAAATTTCTACGTGGGAAAGGAATCTAGCCACAATGCCTAGAGAGAAGAAGGTGGCAGTGAGAGAGAATAAATGTATCTAACGAAAGTTTTTGCCTACAAAGGTTTGACCAAATTGCCAGTTATTGGGGGCAATACTCAATGAAGTACAGTACCTGCTATCACTGGCTCTCACCCTGAATGCCAGTGTCTCTCCCACTAACTGCTTATCAGTCTCCCATTTCTGACCCCAATTTCGCTTCAACTTTGTCCAATTCTTGACCTTCTTATCACCCTTCACCATCACTTGTGTGATGTCCCCAGCTCCTCCGACATTCCACACTGATACCAGATAGAAGTAAGGATTCCCAGTGATTGTGAATCGAATTCCTCCTTTCTTCTTGCACGGTACCCTGCATATATTCCAGAGAGAAGTACGTATTTATGGTGACGTTTGTGTAACATGCATTCATCATTTTGTTTTTCCATTATAACTCCTAGGATGCAAATAAGGTATGATATGCATGTATATATGTAACCTGCGATAATGGATTGGGACGATGCCAGCCTTATACTCTGCAATTTTGAGATACGCAGGTTTGGCCAAATCAAGATGTTCGCGTGGTGGATTGCACCATCCTCCATTGTCACCTGGCAGATCATCATTTGGAGGGCAAAAGTTGGTTGCCGTCACAATAATAGACGATTTCCCTGCCTTACACCCCCCCTCTGGCGATTTTACACATTTGACCTCGTAACATGCCCCACATGTCAGTCCATTGTTGAACATTACAGAGCTCAATGCTACCGTGTCTAGGCCATAACCTTCTTTAACCACATCTTCGTACCCACAAGCTCCACCTGCACGCATGCAATGCAATCAAATTCTTCTTCTTCTTCTTCATTCACAAACCATGTACATGCATAACAACATAACGCATCACAGCTTCACATAGCATTCATTCGAGGTTGGTAAGTGATCCATGCATTGTATCAACAGTTTTTACATTAGCACAAGTCTCATCTTTTATTTGGACATCTACACCAATGTTTTCGAAAAACATAAATAAGAATAATAGATTATGATTTTTATTCCCATTAAAGAAAGACTAAAAACATAAGAGAATCGATATAGTCTAGACCACAGAGATCTCATAATAAATAGATGCTTAAGCGATTTAAATATATATATATATATATATATATATATATATATATATATATTGTGTGAATTATAAGGTTGGCTTGATTGAACATATTTTACTATAACTCAATCTCGAAGCAAAATAGCAAACTTGTCTTAATGGTCAAGAATTTTAGGTTAAAGAGCTTTATATATATATATATATATATATATATATATTTATGTAAGTATTATGTCATGAAATCGATTAAGAAAATGATATGAATTGTTGGTACCAAATGTTCCAGAGCCTCCTTCATAGAAGGTAGCATGAGCTTGTTTCCATGGACCTGGTTTAAAAATCGGGCGATGCCTCTTGATGCTAACTTTCTTGATACTTCCAACATGGTTATGAGCTGCATGGACATTAGGAAGTGAGAATGCAACAAGAAAGAGCCATGTTGTGGTCGCGAGGGCTCCCAATGGGAACGCCATGACAGCTGCAGATTTTGTCACAGTTCTCTACTACGATATGTGATTCTTGGTGCTTTTCTATATTTTCTCCCTGTTTGGGGTTGGTGAGTGTGTATATATACATATATAGTAACTATTTCTCTCAGTTTGTTAGTACACGTCCCTCGTCAACATTGGATATTCATGGAATATGTTTAAAAGAGCCATTCAAGATATACGGAACTATTCTTTTTCTTCCATTTATTCTGAAAATAGTTAATTCACTTTATGACAAGTTTTATGTGAAGAAAATACATGGTTAAGTTACTATTTGATCGCGGCATAAATCTCAACTCAATCACTAAGATTACGTTCAAGTTGACATCTAACCTATCTCTTTGTGTTCTAAAATCTTGCAGTTGCAGATGACTCTACTCTTTTACTGACACTTATACTACTCAAAATCTTGCATTTCGCTCTTTTAAGATTAGTGTTTGATCAGTTATATTAGATTTGTTCATTACATATATGTGGAGGAAATATAATTTAGAGTTGTTTAGCAAATCTTCCACTTTCCAGTGCAGTTTTATGATAACTATATATTAACAATTAATTCAATTTCTCAACGATAAATTGTAGGATGGACCTCTTAAGAAAAATTTAGAGTGATAGTTATACGCTTTTAAAAAAGTTATACTACAAATTATTTGATATTTGGTTAGAATTGTTACCAATTGTTAGAGGAATATATTGTTTTTATTATTTGATGACTTGTTATAAATTATATCGACCATTGGAATGTAATGGCATTATAACTGTACATATGACATGTATGATGAGGAATTTAAATTAAAGGATATTATAATGGGTATAATTTATATTAATATAATTTCATCCTTCTTTGCTAAAAAAATGTTACGTACAAATTGTGAATATAGAAATATTATGTGTTAACAACTTTTATGATAAAAACTATCCAGCCTTTTATTAGTTTTATCATAATAAAAATTATATTTTTATATTCACTATTATTATTATTAAAAAAATTGTTGTAGAAGGATGTTTAATAAGAATTGAGTTATCTATATATCATTCCTCTTGTGAATATATCTAACCCAATCAACTTACAAAAAAAAAATCTAAAGAAAATTATGGGTGCGTGTGAGAATAAAGATTAGTGTATATAGTTTTCGTTAGTGAAAACGAATAATAAATCATTAATCCTTAATTTTAAAATAAGTAAATCTATTATATATACATATATAATGTTTCATAAAGTTATTATAAATGTATACATTTTTAAACTGTGTAACGGTTGGCTAGTTGCTTTAACTTATATAATAATAATAATAATAATAATTTTACAAGAGGAAAATTCATCCACCTAATATCCAAATAAGGTTGAGTTTTTTTCTTAATAAGGTTATACACTTCGATTTAAAATAAAATGTAATAAAAAATTTATTTATGCTTTTTTCTATATTTACATTGTTTTTGGAAATTAAACTATTTTTTTAACACGAAAACTTGAAAATTTTAAGAGAGTTAATATATTAGAACAAAATTCTAAAAGCTAAATTAGTAATTGATTTTACTCTTTTTCAAGTTTAATTATGATTAAATTAGATAAAATTGTATTGCAATTATTTAGTTATTATAAAAAAAACTTAATTATATAATTATTGGTTAATAAAAATTAAGTGGCGTACATAACAATTATTAAATCATCTAATAATCATGAAATGGTGCAATAGATAATAAAAATGAAATTTAAAATGAAAATTAGTTGAGATAAAATCTTGTTAATAATTATTCGAATAAAAGATGGAATCACAACCTCACGTTTTAATTAAATTTAAAATAAAAAAAATCAATCACGTATCACATATCAATGAAAATATGGAGCAATAAGAAGAGTAGACATGTTACACAAAGAGAAAATGTGGCAAATTAATGAAAAGTAAAATATTATAAAAAAAAAAAAATCTATTGATTCGGATAAAAAATGCGTCACAAACTCGATCCAGAACTATCTCTCTAAAAAAATGCTAATCGTTTTATATATTTTGTTTGTTGTAAATGATATCATATTTAATTAATTTCTGATTATTTTTAGTATTTTTTTATGGCGAAAAGTATAAATACAAATTTGAAAATGTTTATCCATTGCAGTTGCAACGACGAATGTTATGGATTACGGAACATAAGATGTTGGAGCAGCAGTAGTTTAGTAGGTAGCAGTAATGGGAAGTGGCAAGTGAGAAGTTTAGAATTGTTTTCGTCCTACAATTCCAATTTATGCAGTTGGTGTGGTTGGATTAAGACGAAGGAATAATAACGAGTCGCGGAATAGGTGGTCCCCATCTTATTTTGCAACTACTAATACCTCCGTAGTTTCAACTTCGTCAATGCCACAAGATTTTGTTGCCAACCTCGTCTAGGGTTCCTCTGTTTCTTTCTTCACACCAATGGCCAAGAAGAAAACCACATCTCCAACCAACAATAAGAAAATGAAGACCAAAATGATAATTCACATGCCAAAACATTCTCAACAGCCGAGAAGTTCACCTCCCAAACGTCGCACTGATTTCTCTGTGTTCACTCGCACTCCCTCCTCCTTCTCTAACCCTGCATCTGGTACTTTTTCTGCCTCTTATCAATAAGGGCTTCTGAATTTCCTTCTTTCATGTTCAGTCTAGTATTTCTTGAATTTGTTTTCTATATGGAATTTGATTGTTGTTCAGTACGTTGGTTATTGGTGCTAATTCATTTTGGTGATTTTTTTTTGTGGGGATCGTTGTTTCGTGTTTCTTTGAATTGATCGTCAACTGTTGACTGCAAAGCTAGCGATTGCCATTCGGGCATTTCCCCACATTGAGTTCATTTTCTGCTTTTCTGTTCGGTGCATCTGAAAAGAATTGAATTGAAATGTCTTCGTGTAGCAAGACAAGCAATTGGTGATGAAGTTGTTAAATCCCTTCCTCTTGCGTTGGTCGGAAGCAGTTCGATGTGCTGTTTATTATGTCACTCATGCGTAGATGATGATGTTCTTTTAAAGAATTGTCGGGATGGTATTTTGTTAGCAATGTGGTTGAGCTATGAAATATCTGTGTCTACGTGCTTGTTGCTTTTTCAATTTACATTTTTTACAATGCAATGAAGTCATTTTTTTGTTAGCATGCCTAATGGTTTGTGTGTACTGAAATTATTTATAACTGTTTGATTTCAATCTTCCAGTCATGAGTATTTGTGATGGAGGAAAAATGCAGAATATGGTATTTTTTGCATTACAAAAAATTGAATACTTGTTGAATTTAGCTCCATAGTTGTTGTTTTTGCCATTTACAGTTATCCGAAGTCACATACCTTTTAAGGTTTAGTGCCTCCATCGAGATAATATGTTTCTGATAGGCCTTGTCAAAATTTTAAAGGAATTAATTTTGTTCTTGGATCCATGTGACTTTATTGGGGCTAGTTATACATGTGGTACTCTAAAACTTTGTTGTTAATGTTGCCAAGCTTGGAGGTTTGGCCAGTAGTTTGTTCTCTTTCTTCAAATATCGTACTTTGTGTGACATGTAATTCAGATTAAATTACCCATTTTGTTAGCATTTAAATCCAGTATCTGTCTTTCATAAGCAAACTTTGATTGAACTTTGCTAACATATATGTCTGATCTTTCATCTGACCAACACTTCATGCAGGTTGCTCACCAAATTCCTCTTCTGGTGAAGTGAGGTTGTCCAATGTCTCTGCAAGAAGATTGCAGGGGAGGGGAATGACAATGAAACAATTTTCTGAAGATACCCTGGTTAGATGCAGCACTTACGAAGAGGGTAGACCAGTATGTTCATCTGAGTTTTCTGACGCTCCAGTCGTGGAAGTTGATTCAGCTGTCCCAGATGAAAGTCTTGATCATGGTGGCAATAGGTTTGTTTGTGCAAGCATACTAGTACAAATAAATAGAGTTTAAGATCTTTCAGCTTTTATATTTCTTAGTAGACTGAAACTTAAGTTTCTTGTTTATATACAGGGATGCTTCCAATGAAAAAAATGACATTTCCAAGATGTCAGAATCTACAGCTCTTGAATCATCTGTCAGTGACAGCAGTTCTCTTGCGGCAACTCCTGGAAGTGTTGTATGGGCGAGGACAGATTGTCAATTGTGGTGGCCTGCTGAGGTATTTACTTTTATATCCTGTAATTTTTGTTGTTTTCTACCCTTATCTATGTGCTGGTTCAAGAGTCAATATGGCACATGATAGGCAAAAAGAATCCACAGTTACAAAGGTCCATTATCTCTTCCGGGCATCCTTGAAGAATCTCTTGATTTTACATGCTGTTCACTTACCACCTAAGTTCTTCACGAAAACACTCTGGCATCAGGATATTGTAACGTGTCCTTGTCCTCTTTAAAATTGGAGAACTTGCTTTCAAATTTTAAAATGAATTTTCATATAATCAATAGAATAAGTGATATATCAGTTTAAGTCTCATGGTCTTTGCCTTTTTCCCCTTTAATAATTGATGTACCATAATGTACCATCTTTATTATCTTTAGTGGCCAACCTTGATAAACTTCCCTTTTATTTCTCTGTTTACTCATTCCACCCTGTTCCTTCTTATTCCTTTGGAGATTTGTGAGACAATGTTCTCACATGGGAACTCTAGAAGTTAAGATCAAAATTTTATATCAATTCTTGTTCACTGGAAATTTGTAATCCTTCTATTATTGAAGATTTGACATTTTGTGCCTATTCTTATCTGTGGTGCTTTATTTGTCCAAACTTTTCTCAAGTTAAAACTACAAGAAATACGTGGGAAACCGATTAGTTGAATGTTTTTGTAGTTTACAAGGAAAAAACTATTGGTGCAAATCTGTCATACTTTTGATGTTTTTGAATCAACCTGCTAAACATAAAAGTTAATAAAATAGATTAGCTTCTTATGACTTTGGCATGGAGTTTATTTCTCTATGTTATTATTTGCTTTTGATTGTCATCACTTATTTTTCTATATCAATTAAGAAAATAAACTTTTCAGATCGTGGAAGAAACATCTGCGGTATCCAACCCTGGTAGTGATGGACAAGTTTTAGTGCATTTTTATGGAAATCTTCCCAGGTATTGTCTCATACATTTTTCTGATGGGAGTTTCTTAGTTTGCTTGACTTGTCTACTTACAGTATTGAATATTTCTTTGTTTATTAACAGTGCCTGGATTGATCCAATGACAGATATTTCAAATTTCGAGGAAGTGAGTTAATCATTTTCAAGTCACTACCTTGTATTTACATTTTGTTAACATTTAACAATTAAGGAAAGCCATTCTAGGAGGCAGATTGGAATCTGCCTCATCCTCAACTTTTAAATGAAAAAGAAGAGCGTGAATAAAGGCTTATTTGTAAATTTTCCAATATGTTCACCTGCATCATGGCTCATAATTTTTGTACTGAACTATTAAAATAATGATTTGGAGTAAGCATGTTGTCTCTGCTGTTGCCAATCCTTCTATTCTACATTTTATTTTAAATTCTTTCCCTTTCCTTTCTGTTGAGAGATTGGTTGTCGTGGAATTAGGGTGATATTTTACTCAGTTCTGTTAAGCAGGACATAAATTTCAATAATTGTGAAAAAGATAGTTCTATGATCGTTTGCTTAATCACATCTGTGCATGATTTTTATTACAGTCGTTTGAAGCAAGGAGCAATAACCCTTCAGAAGATTTTCAGCAGGCTTTAAAGCAAGTATGTTTAATGTAAAGCAAAACTTCAGTATGTTTTGCTCCATTAAATTTTACAATTTGAGGCAACAGAGTCCGTATATTATCTATTTTTTAATTCCACCATTCTTGGTAAGATTTATGATTTTATTTTATGATACTAGGCATTACAGAAGAAGGCACAACTTAGTTCTTGCCAATTGTTGACTGCTGATAGATCTCCTCAATCTGATACGCAAGAACGTACATCTGGTACCATCTTGATTTCTACTCTAAATTATTTTATGTATAGTAAAGTTAGTTGTGACAACAAGGGACACAATGGAGGATGTCACAAAATAGAAAAATAAAATATTTTCAAGGGAGTAAACACCTCTGTCATGACCCTCATTGTGACAAATGGTGGTACTACTAGAGACACTTCAATTTCACAAAGGCTTCTTGGCAATCATCATTCCATTCCATATGTTTGATTTTGTGCAATAATTTGAAGATTTAGTTCGCATCTAACTGTCAATTAGGATATGAAATGGGAAAATATTATTCAATTTCCCCCAAAAACTTCCTTTTTTGTGTAATGTGACATTTCAAGAATTGCTCAATATGTGTTGTGTTGTGATCCACTTCAATTCCCTTTTAGTGGAATACAAGCTCTAACTGGAAATAGGCATTCCCTCCTTCATGTAGATGGTGTTTGTAATCTTGAGTGCTTAAAATGTGGTCTTGAGCCTCCTTGACAATATAGATATAAGAGGCGGATGATAGCTTGCTAGCTAATAATAGATCCTCCTTCGATGTGATAATGACTGACTTGTCATCAATTATAAATATTAGCTTCTAGTGAAGTGTGGAAGGAGCAAGCTTTGAACAATGGATCCAAGGTCTCCCATAAAAGCATCTGTAAGTTGGTAAAATTTCTATTTTATGAATTGTTACATCAAATGTAGCCACGAAATCTCCTTCCAATAGTAGAATTTCTTGACGAAACTATTTCTCTAGTAGAAACTAGAGCTATCAAAACGGACGGTCCAACTTGGCTTGGCCCAATGGGCCAAGTAAAAAGAATTGATGGTCCAGCTTAACCTATATTTTAAAACGGGCAACAAATTTTAGCCTGACGTGATCTTATACTAGGCCAACGAGGTTAACAAACCAATTTTGGCCTGATTGAAATAAAAAAATTGACATTTATACAAGATCAATTGATTTAAAAAAAATATTTTGAAAATTTAAATTTTATCAATGAAATTAGTTTTTATTTAAGATATAATGATTTAATATATAAATTATAGGAGAATGCACCTATTCATTCTCAAAATAAGAATTAAAAACTTACTCTTTATTATCATTATCAATTTTTAGTAATTTATTAATTTAAAATAGTAATTAATCTTAATCATTAGATATTGAAAATAATGATTACTAGAGATTTAGTCTCGATATTTACTTTTAGAATAAGTTAATAATAATCAAATTAATTTATAATGCATATATATTTTGTAATAAAATAGTATTACTTTTATTTTTATTTAAAAATAATTATTATTCTATAAAATAGGTCAGCCCATAAGCCTACGAGTTAGCCTGATTATAGGCCATGACCTAAATAGGCTGAGCCAAAATAGGTTTGATTAGCCACAAATTTTTTGGCCTAACTTGACCTATTTCTCAGACATTCCCGGCCAGCTCATCGGGCTGAACCTATTTTGACACTCCTAGTAGGAACACAACTAGCATCTCTTGTTGGAGATGCACGATGAATGACTTCTTGATAAGTCATTCATTTTCTTTTCTCTTTGTCTTTAGAAACACCACATCCTATGATGTTTGCCCTTTGCTCATCAAGAGTTTAGATTCGACCACTTTGAGTCACCACAATCGCAATGATATTTGTAGCAGCACAATCCTCCTAGTTGGCATTCTTTGTCTTGTTCTCTTTGGAATTTTTTACACATACTAACATGCCATAATTCTATTCATTGTTTTATTGTCCTTGTAAGGGAAAGTTGTTGGTATTTGTATAGAGATAGTTAATTTGGGCATTGAAGCAAAAAGAAAGAGGTCAAAATGTGCACATATATGATGAAAGATGAGTGCACAAGTAGATAGAGCTTTACTTGATTATAATGTTGTCTTTGTGTGGCCATATTAGGATAATATCACACCTTGATACTAGAATAGTGGAGTACAAATTGCCCTTGAAGTCAGAATATCCTTCACACAAACAAAAGTTAAGGCAAATGAAGTGGGAAATCTCTTCAAAAAACCGGAGACAAGGACAAGGAAAAGAAACAATTTGATGTTGATTTACTTGCAGTTGTCAAATACCCACAGTGGATTTCTAATATAGTGCTAGTTCCTAAGAAAGATGGTTAAGTTGTGTTGATTATCAGGATCTAAATAGAGCCAACCTTGAAGATGATTTTCTGGTACCCAAATTGATGTGCTAGCAGACAATACGAATTAACATTCTTTATTTTCTTTAGATGATGACTTAATAGAATTCAATCAAATTAAGATTGCAAAGAAGAAAATGATAATCATCAGATCCTGGCGCACTTTTTGCTACTTAAAGTTTAGGTGAATAACTTTTGGGAGCAACATACCAAAGAACAATCGTCAATTTGATCCATGATATGATACATAAGGAGATTAAAGTTCACATAGATACATGAACACAAAGTCAAGAAGATCATGTAATTCATTTGCAGAAAGTTCTCAAGTGTTTGAGGAAATTCCTAGCTAAATGCACTTTTGGCATGAAGTATGACAAGTTGGGGTTTATAGTCAACCAAAAGGGAGTTGAAGTGGATCTAACAACTTTTAGGCAAGTATAGAAATGCGACTTCCTTGCCAAAAAAAAGAAAGTTTCATTGTTTTTGGAAAGATTGAATTATATTGCCAATTTACAACTTTTAGTTTGCATTATCATATCTGTGGTGACCCTTGTTGTGACATGGGTCAGAACAGGAAATCTTACTGAGTCCTATGGTTATGTAAACACATTTAATAAATGGGAAGAACCAGTTTTATATAGTGAACTAGTGAAATTACTATTACACACATTTTTTGTCGAATAGAAATGTAGAACAAAAATATTTCAACTCATTTACAATGATATGATTAGTCAGTGTTTTATTTAGCAAATACTTTTGGGACACTTATCTTCATAAAGTCCTATGTGCTTTATTTTTATCCATGCATCATTATTTAATGTTCTTGTATGTCTTGTGTGTTTGTCAGCCTCGATAACAATCTACTGGTTGGCAATGGTTTACTCTTTTTGTTTGTTCTTTTCCCCCTTTAATACGAAGTTACGGTTTCAACAGATAAATGCCCTTCTACTACCACAAGCAAAACAATAGATGATTTTCAAGAGAGACGAAGAGGGAAAAGGGAACGTAAACCCAAAGTTCACTTTGATGTAAGTTTCTAATTTAAAACTTATGCCTTGATCACTACTAAAACTTGTTTGTCATGGGCTTGATGAATAAATTCTCTTCCAGGAGGTTACACATCCAGTGAAATCAGAAAAAAAGCTTCGTAGGTTAAAGATAATGCGGTACCTTGGCCTTGCAGCTCCAATTGGTTCTCCCTTCTGAATTTTGACCAAGATTATAAGTAATGCATATTTCAAATGTTTGCTGCCTAATTTTCTTTAACCATAATAATCATGAAATATGCATATTCAAAAATTTGTTTCTAGATGCCATTAGCTCTGTAAAATTTTGTAGGATTATATAGTCTCATATATTGCATTATCATCTGTAAAAACCATATAAGAATTTTATGGAATATTAGATTAGTTCTTTAATAAAATCTCCATTTAGCACTTGTTTAGTTTGGATTTTCTTTATGGTGTTTTCTGTATAACTTACTAAAATCATAGCAGTTGTTCAGTATTGTTTCTTCATCTGTTATTAGGCAATATTTGTCAATCCTTAATGATCATTTTATCAGTATACGTTAATTATTAAATCACCCTTGGAAATATTTGGTCAAAAACTAGAATCAAAAGATATTATAGGGTGTAATTGGATTATTCTGGTTTGGAAGCATCCGTTTCGAGAGGTTCATTATTGTACCATGTTTGAAACTCCAATTGCAGTTTATGTATGTTTGCTATAAATTTTGTTAATGAGAGAAAAAGTGAACTTGTCAGGGAAACATTATCTATCGATGATGAAGCCCACGTGACTACCCAACCACTTAAATCTGTATTATTGGTAATTCACAGCAGTGGGTGTTGCAAATGATTTGCCAAATATTCAGTCTCATCTGTGCGTCTCATTCAATTTGGCCGAAATTTACAATAAGTTTCTAATACCAACATGATGAAAAAACCAAATGATAAGTAGGAAATGAATCGGCCAAAAGAATGAAATGAATAAGTAAAAGACGAAAGGGAACATGAAATACTGTTTGTGAAGAAAATCTTCATATTCATTCCACACAAGATAAAAAGGCATTACATCACTTTAGTTAGAAGAAGCAAATGCAAATGTTCATTATTATACAATGATGAGCTAATCACATTATTTAATTATTTATACTGTTAAATTTACTGAATGACGTGAAATTAGTTGTGTGTTCAAATACATTATTTTTTTCTGAGTTATATGACATGCCTTGTGATCTTACCGTCTCAGTAACATAAAGAGAGAATTAGGTGACCTTCAAATAGTCCTAAAATTAAAAAAGACGAGGCATGAATGTTCGAGGGATTAGGAGATATAGTTATTCTATTAAATGTTTGATTAAATTTAATTTTTTTAAGCCATACTTAAGTTTAGTTTTTAACTCGATAATATATGCATGAGTTAACTTAGATTTCATGGACGTTACAATATAAGTTTGTAAATGGCTTTACTTATGTGTGTATACAATGATATCAAAATATAATTTAAAATTAGAAAAGAGATGGGATAATATTTATTTCTTGAGTTAGGGTAATAAACTGAATCCACTTTCTTTATTTTATTTAAAAGTATTATATTGACAAAAAATTAAATAAAAAAATTACAAAAATTAAAATAGAAGTTTTAAAATATAAAACTTAAAAGAAAAATTATGAAAAAGTATTGTTTAATAAATAAAATATGTCATTTTATTAAAAATAATATATATATATATATATATATATATATATATATTATTAAAAGAGAGAAAAGATGAATCTGTTTGTGTAATATCTATATTACAAATATCACATTATTTCTTATGTTTTTTAAATTGTATATAAAAATTATAGGATTAAGTATGTTTTTAGTCCTTATACTTTTATGTGAAATTGAAAATAATCTCTTTGTCATAGTTTACATAAAAAATGATCTCTATACTTTTGAAATGATTGAAATAGTTCCCTATTTTGAACAACATTAAGTATATGCTTGACTTGTCTAACGAAATTGGTATGACTCATTAATTATTTGATACATGTAATTATTTTAAAAAATAAAATTAAAAGGTGTTTTTAAAAGTCATTTAAAAACTATTTAAAAAGAAATTTAAAATTCTCTATCATTTATAAGTCATTTAAATCCAAATTTAAAACATTTAAAAGTCATTTAAGAATAGATCTATGTCGAGATCATTCCTTTTGAATTTAAATACAATTCATCTTTAAAATGAATTAGATTTTGCATTCTTTAAAAATGGAGTGTACCATAGATGTTTCTGCACATACATGTACCATTCAAATACATGCTCCTACATTTAACATGTTTCTTTATTTTTTAATGTCCACCCACAACATCCAGAATCATGTTTCAATCTTATCCCACGTTCAACATAATCACATTCAACCAAGTGGAAGGAAACAAGGAAAAATATGTAATTTAATATAAGAATTTGTCAACATAAAGTACTGCAATAAAGCTCAACTACACTGTTTTAACATAATACATAAAAGAAGTGGACCACAATTGTTGACTATAACTGAAGCAAAACTACAAAGCAGTGAACTACTTTACATTAAAAAAGTAGTATGGACCGCTTCATATTACAATACCCAAACATTTTACATTACAAAACTAATTAAATTTCATGTGGACTAAGCAGTGGGGTTGTTGGAGCGGGCTTGAGAGCCTAATATTGGTGGTCTCCCTCTCCTTCTTAGTGCTGGAACGTTGGTGGTAGATTTGAGCTGCCTCTTATCCACTGTTCCAGCCGCTGTAGTGTCTATAGATGTAGCTGGTCTTTTTCTGGAAGATGCAGATTTTGTTTTCTCCTATATTTGAAGAACAAGAAATCTTCATTAGTGACAAAAAAAAAACCGGAATAGGTAATTGTAAGTGGACAAATCTAGCACAAATCTATCTTACCCATTGTAATCCTACAATGTGAAAAATTGATTTAAACACTGTACGAGAAAAACCCTAAATCATTTTAACAAAACCCCCAAAATGCATGCATTAGAATACAAAATAAACATTTAGTTTCGCAAATGAAAAAAAAACATACCTTAATTTTTGGAAATGAAAATCCTAACTATGGTATACCACCATTGCACACTGTTGGTGTGCATCATCGTCGCATTGTCAGCCGAACCACAACGAACTAATGGAACCCTCGAACTTTAAAGTCACTTTGACTTCATACAACCTTTACAGAGAAAGGGGAAAAAAGAAAAGACCTTTGATGTGTGACGAGAAAAGAAGAGAAAACTAAAAGTAGTCTGTGACTAGAAAAAAAAGATAATGAAAAGTGGTTGTGATGAGAATTGAAGAGTTTTGGTGTGTGAGGAGAAAAGAAAAACTTCTACTTTTTAATTTTGTTTTTTTAAAAATAATAATCTCTCGTTGAATAATTTCTATTTTTTTTTAAAGAAGAGCTTTGTTTTTTTTTTTTTTTAAATAATTACACGTGTCAAATAATGAATGTGTCATACTATCTCTGTTAGGCATATCACCATTTATTTAATAACGTTTAAAATAGGGATCTATTCCAATCATTTGAAAAATATAAGATATTTTTATGTGAACTATGACAAAAGACTATTTCTAATTTCACACAAAAGTGTGTATAAAGTAAAAACTTACTTAACCCAAAATTATAAAACTCATGTTTTCACTATTTCTTATGTAAACACACATTTAAAATAAAAGCTTCCATTATATGTAATGTATATATATTGCACAAAGTAAAACATTAACTTTGGACCAATCGACCAATTAAAATATCAATGAAGTTTATGTTGAAGAGAATATGAGAATTATTGTAAACCTCCTATATGTTTGATTTCTGTTAATAAGAAAATATCAAGTTTAAATAAAAATTTTTCAAATAAAATATCATGATGGATGATAGCATATAGAATAACTAATAACATTTTATGGGAAATGATTATTTTTAATAAATAAATGTTTTTCTAACAATAAGTAAAAATGACAGAAAAACAATTTCATTAAAAAATACAGAAAAGGTATTTATCAATAAATAAAAAATAGAAACTAATGAATTGTTTGACTTAATGTAATTTTTTATTTTTTAAAATAATTTTAATATTTAATTTTGAAAAATTATTTTGATAGTAAATTAATAAAGAAATTCATTTAATATCTCTATTCTAAAAAATGTTTTAAATAAAAAATAATATTAATAATGACAATTTATAAAAAATTCAACGATGATTTCATAATAACAAAAATATTTCGTTCGTGAAAATAAATATATCATTATTAATAAATAAATAAAAAATATTTTATTAGTTTTTATTTTAAATTTTTTAAAAATTTAAAAATATAAACAAATTTAACAAAATCATTATCAAACAAATATTTTACTTTTTAAAAATTAAGAAACTAAAAAATATTTTTAAAAATAATAACAAGCAAATTCTACTTTATCAAAATTTTCTCATTCACTTCAAAACAAATGTCTAGTGGGTTATTTGGTACACTTCTCTAGCGAAAAAAAGTGTAGTTATAAATAAATGTTTCTATTTATTTTTTATTAAAAATAAGAAAAAATATGCTATATTTAACCATGCAAAATAAAATTTCATTATTCATGCAAAAGATTATTACATTCTAAAAATTAAATTCTTATTAATTTACCTACAGGATCATCTTAAATGGTAGTGATGGGGCTCAAGATATGTTTTGGTGTTGATGGATAATGGAACGGGACGAATAATAATAAATGTGAAAAAGATGAGAAAAAAGTATAATATATTTAATTTCCGGAAGGCAACATAGCCAGCGCAGTTGTGTCTGTGTGTCCCCGGCGTCTAGAGGCACCACGCCACGCCACACCACAACACACCTCTCTCTATTTATGTTGCTCTGGCTTCGCGATTCTCGCACCTTCCAATTTCATGGCTTCCTCAAGCTCGATTCCAGCATCCGGTACGTTTTCCTTCTCCGAACATTCCACAATTCACACTTCAAATTCCTCTTCTTCTGATCTCTGTCAATCATCGATCAATCTCTTTCGTGCAGAGGCCGTGCAGGTTCTCCTCTCCTTGCTATCCGACGACTCTTCCTCTGTCAGAGAGGCCTCCATGTCCTCTCTCAAGGACATTGCCGCGCTGTAATTACTTCTCTTCTTTCATTTATTTCCTTCAATTCGCTTCCTTCTTCTACCTCACCATTCATCGCGTCTTTCACAGAAATCCTCTTCTAGTTCTCGATTGCTGCGCCGTCGTTTCGCGCGGTGGACGTCGGGTGCGCTTTCTCTCTCTCGTTTTTCATTCAATGCTCATGCTTTACTCGATCGTTCTTTTATTTTACTTTATTTTACTCTCGCGGTGTTTCAGCGGTTCGGGAACATGGCTGGAGTTTTCCAAGTGATGGCGTTCGGAGTTCGGGCACTTGACGAGAGAGACGTTGATTCTGCTTTCATGGCGAAGCTCGCTAAGATTGCTACCGCTGAGCTGATATCGTCTAAGGTGCTTTGTTTTCTGTTTTCTTTCAGGACTGAGTAGCTAGCTGTTAGTGATAATAATGGACACAATTCAGTGACAATCACTTTTTCTTTTTTACGTTTTTATCTTAATGGGAGTAAGTTAACTTGTGTGTGGTTTTTGGAGACTCGGTTTTACTTTGGAACTACTAAAATTAATTAAAGAATAGAGTGATGCGCGTAGATGGAGATGCCTCCTTCTGAAGAGGAAACATTCTGAGAAGTCTGCGGGCTCGAATTTATCGCGTCGGACTTTTGCCGTGAATTGATGGAGGATACGTTTAATTTTTTGTCTCCTTTTTATCAACACACAAGGACTGCCTTTCTAAGTTTTAACAACATTTTTACCACTTATTGATAGAAATTTTTTACATCTTAGAAGGTAAGAAAGCAGGAGAAGAAATAACATGCTACATTGATCAATGGGAAATAAAAATAAATGAAAAACAGATGGAAATTACATCCACAAAGCACTGATTTACCTATCCAGCTGCAATAGCAAAGGCGTAAAAGTCCATAAGCTGGCCATCATAAAGACACCAAGAAATGTAGCTTTGTTCCATAAAATTGCGGGGATTAATAATTCTTGAAGATCGACGGATATGTCTCCCAATTGCAAACACTCTACATCTGCCTACTTTTGCAAGAAATTAATTCATGTGACTGGCATGTAATATGGAATTTGTCTATGATGCTGTATCAGACATGGTCAAATTAAGATGCAGACAGTAGAGTATGAGGGTTGGAAGGTTTGATAGTTGGTGTAACCTTCACATTGATTTGTTTCATTGTTCTGTGCAGTTGGAGGGGTAAGGAACCTTATGGTGACCATGATTATTTGTGTTGGTTTGAATGAAAGATAATTTTCTAAACAAAAAAACTTATCTGATTCTTGAAGACTGGGTTTTACGCTGTTTTACATAAATTTTTTGAAGATATAAGCACCATTCTTGGGTCTTCATCTAACAGATGGTTGAACAAATAGTGATTCAAGGTTTGAGATTTAGCTGTCCCTCCTTTCTTTCACTTTCCACGTGGACAAATAATTTGCTGGAAATTGAATGGATGCAAATTTGCTAGGACAGAAGATTTTGGTGAAGGGTGTCAAAATTGAAATTCATAGTTACTGGAGGGTAGGAAAAAAAAGGCAGGTTACTTGCATGTTGTTCATTTTAGACATGCACATGCTAGCTATGGTCAGATGATTAAAGTATAGTCAGTGAATATGCTGGAGTTTGGCACTACTAACTTGAAAAGCATTGCATATATAGTTGGAACTAACAAAATTGAGGACAATGGATGACTCATTTTTTCTTGGTCTATGTTTTGAACATTCTTACACTGTTGGTTGGTAGACAAGGTATTAAAGAACATGTTGATCATAGAAAATGGCTTATGGCTAGGCCTATGGTGTCTGAACTTGTGTTTTGACTAAAAGTGAGCAATTAGATGATTACTGTAATATTCAGAAGTTAATGAGGAAGGAGCTAAAGAGAAGTTGTAAGTTATATGATGCTTTGAATATGAGATTTTGATTAATCTAGCAAGGTTTTTGGAAATCTTGGACTGTTTACTTGTAATAACTTTACATTCTAAAACCTGAATTTGGATATTTAATCAGTGAATCTCTCTGATGAGGGTGTTTGTAATAGCCATGATGAAATTCATATCTGACCAAGCAATAATATAAACAATGAAATACAATTTGATTTAGTGTAGGTGAACGTTTTCTTACAAATTCAACTTTTATTAACATGTAGTGTAAAATGGGCCAGTAGTAATCAGATTTTATTTTTTAAATCAGGTTTTTTGATTTGGTATTAGTAGAGTCTTGTGAATTTGTTAGAATCCTAAAGATATAATAATTGAAGATAGTAAGATCAGTTATTGATATTAGGATCAATTAGATTGATTCTATATTTATATTATTAGCCTAAAATAGGGTAATAGAATATTATGTAATTATGTTCTATAAAGTTAATAGCTCTGTTGTGGTCTAAAAACACAAAATTCATCATATCCCTTCCCAATATCTCTCTTCTTAACATGTTTCAAGAGCCTAAAGAGAAGGAAATCCTAATTCGTGCTTTCCCTGTGGACCAATTGCTCATAAGTGTAAATTCCACAGAATTCATGTACATTTTCCGGCTTTTGTTTTTTAGTCATTGGTATTATTGTGCACTGTTGGAGACACTGTTTGGTTGATTTCCTCTGTCTTGCCGACTAATGGAAAAGTTAATTGACTTAAGCTTATCTTGTTGCAATGGGCTGTACTTATATCTTTGGGTTGAATTATGGGGATATTTTTTTTCTGGTTGCCAAAATTTCTTGTGTGTGACTATTTTGTATGTTGCTACCATCTATCATTGTCAATTATATGTGATAATCAAGTCATTTTGCATATTGCCTTAAATCTAATATTTCATAAAATGACAAAGCAAATTGAATTTGATTGTCACATTGTTAAAGAGAAAGTTATGTTTTGGAAAATATCTACTAACTTGGTTAGTTCACTAACAAATATATTCGCTAAGTCACCATCAGGTCCTCAGATTAATTACATATGTAACAAGCTTGATTCATATGACTTGTATGCTCCAACTTGAGGAAGATTGTTAGAATCTTGTAGATATGTTAATAATTGATTATATTAAGATTAGTTGATGATATTAGGGTCAATTAGATTAGTTATATATTTAAGTTCTTAGTTTATAATAGAGTATATGAATATTCAATTATTATGTTCTCTCTCCTTAAATTGAATAGCTCCACCGTGCTCTAAACACACGAAATTCATCTTATGCCTTCTTTGTTTCTCTATTCTCAACAGATATTATTTGTTATTTAGGCTTTTTATCTTATTTTGGATTTTCTTATACAATATAACAGATCTTGTCTTATTATGTGTTTGGTTGTGTTGGGTTTATTAATAATCGACTAGTGTCAACATTTATGCTTTGTTTGGTAGGGAAAGAGAAACAAGTTGGATGAAAATGAAAAAAAGATGAGTGGGAATAGGTGAGAAATAAAGTGAAAGTTACAAGTGTTTTGGTTGAAGAAAAACATAAAAGTGATGAGGGATGAGAGAGATTGGTAGAAATAGGTGAGAAATAGTACAATGGGTCCCACCATTTTAAAATTATTTCTCTCTCTTTCTCCCTGTCCAAACAACTTACATGAATTTCATCCTCTTCATTTCTTCACAAATAAAGTCACCATTAGTCTGAGATGATTATGCAGCATTGGTTCTTTTTCTTTGAGTACTTGAAACCCTAATTAGATGAGTACACTAGGCTTATTGTTCCATCACATATTTTTGTCATTACTTTATTTGAAATGACTGTGAGGATGCGTTTGGATAAACTTCTTGATAGACTCACAGAAGAAGAAAATAATGTTTATGGAGGAGTTTATCTAAACAGATCCTAAGTCTATAGTAAGTCTGTTGGATCCTGGTGTTTTTTTTTCCTGATTTCATGGTCATCTTAGAATATTCTAGCTGATTGCTTCAACAGATTTGCTATGTTACTTCGAATGCTTTATTTAATTCATATTGATTGTTTTCTGCAGGAACTAAATTCTGATTGGCAACGTGCAGCAACAAGCCTACTTGTTGCAATAGGCTCTCATTTACCTGATCTTGTGAGATATTTCTTTGTCTTATAACTATCAAAATTGGTTTTTGTTTGTATTAAGAAATTTAGTTCGATAAAGGAAAGAAAAGATAGGTATACAGAACCATTGAGAAAGAAAGCTCAGTAGCATGCAGCCCTACTGTAGTCCAGGTTCTTTTATTACCTGTTAAATTAGTATAAGTTGAGAACTGTGGCCTTACTCCATAGTTTTACTTTATCCTTGAACTTGGAATTATTAATATATTTTTCTATCAAGCTAAGGGAATATCTCCCATTCATGGGATGTACCACTCTCTTCTATTTATAATATATATATATATATATATATATATATATATATATATATATATATATATATATATTTTCTGCATATCTCCTAGTTTTCCCTGGATTCTTGGTCTCATATCTCTGAACTCCCCTTCCCCTGAATCGGTGTTGCAGATGATGGAAGAAATTTTTCTTCATTTATCTGGGACAAATTCAGCACTACAGGCTATGGTTCAAATCCTTGCAGAATTTGCTTCTACTGATCGTTAGTAATCAATTTTTACTATGTGCTTTGGCTGTCAATTTTTTTATAGGGGATTACATTTAATTGTAAATACTGATGTGTTTTTCTTCCATATAAATCTGAGACAGCCATGCAGTTCATTCCACGTTGGAAAGGTGTACTTTCACGAATTTTGCCAATTCTTGGAAATGTACGTGACATGCATCGCCCAATTTTCGCAAATGGTAGAGTGATTTTTCTGTTACTTTGTTGATGGATGTGTTTTTTTATATCTTTGATGTCTTTTATGAAGCACCAGTGCTTTAATTTCCTTCACGTATATGTATATAATATAGATGCACTTGGATACTTCATTGATACCTATTGGTGAAGTACCAAAGCTTACAAATTTTGTGAAAATTAAATACAGCTACATCAGTTATTATATAAAAATATATAATATAGAAACATGGAAGCATTGTCCATTGGTGAATAAAGAATGGTGATTGTCCTCTTTATGGCTGACTCTGAGTTCAAGAACCAAATGAGATTAATCTAACTATTCCTATTTGTAAATAATTGGATGTTATTTATGATGATAATTATTTATAATTTTTTTAGTAATGTCAAAGATGTATGTTCTTAGTTTGAATAGAATTGCAATAATACATTTATTATGTTTTAGGATTCTTTATTAAGATGTAGATATTTTCATATCCTATGTATTTTCTTGGAATAATCATATCACCATATTGAACACGTATCTTGTATGTGGATGGTGTCTATTCATAATAGGTGACTTTCTTGAATGGTGTGATGTTTCTGACAAGTGCAGTTTATGTCTGACAGGTCCAGCCAAATTTAATTTAATGTCCCCTTTTTGTAAATTTCATGCCATATTAGGGAACATCACAATAGTGACAAATGCAAAATTGGCAAATCATAATCTATTAAATGTAGTTGTGATGAACAGCTTAAAAATCTTATGAGTTTTTAAAGGACATGTGCATCTTGTGGTTTCTGGAATTTTATTGAGACCTTGTTCTAAGAATAATATTTTAAGATAAATTGGTATTATTAGTAGGCTAACATTTTGAAAGAATGGTAAAGTTGGGTTGGAGATTTCTAAATTAGGCTGGATGTGAGCAATCTTGGCTACCTGGTTTTGGAGGATGCCAATTTTGGTGATTTTATTTTCTTTGTACTTTATTTTAAAGTTCACTCCAGGATAGTTTATAATGTTGTATATTACGGCTGATAAATCAATGAAGTATTTTTAAATTGTTTTGAAATATAAGTTTTGTAAATTTATAATCTTTTTGCTATCAGCTGTACCTTCAATTTAAGCTCTCATTTTTTGATGATGGTGGACAAATGGGGTAAGAGAATATTTGGCTAACCTCACTCAAAGGTGTAATTGTTACTGATAATTTAATCCATTGAACTCATAATTTGTTGTTGTTTGCAGCATTTAAGTGTTGGTGTCAAGCTTCTTGGCAATATAGTATAGACTTTCCTTCACATTTTCCTCAAGATGGTGATGTCATGTGAGATCAATATATAGTCTTCTAGTTTATTTTCTGATTCAACACATCATGTTTCATTTATTTATTGTCTGAAGGTGAGAAATATCCCTAATTCTCTATGTAGTGCAGGTCATTTCTAAATTCTGCTTTTGAGCTTTTGTTGAGAGTTTGGGCAGCTTCGAGAGACCTAAAGGTAACTATTATGGTGCTCTATTTTTGTTCTTGCATTCTACTGCTTATATGAGTCTATTATTTTCTCTGTTTCTTATGTTCCCTGATACATCTATACAAGTTGAGTTTCTGAACACATTTGTTTGTGTAGATCAATTAACGGTAGAATAAGTATTTGAATGTATCATTTACATGATCTATTAAATTGATTGTTGTTGATCTTCATCTTATATGTACATTTTTGGTTTTAGGTTCGCGTGGCATCTGTAGAAGCATTGGGGCAGATGGTAGGTCTCATAACACGAGCACAGTTAAAGGCTGCCCTACCAAGGCTTATCCCTACAATATTGGACTTGTAAGATTTGTTTTCAAAGCATGTAGTTTCCTATTGTTCATATTATAGTTAGTGTTTTTCTTATTTAATAGTGATTTCTCATTAGATCAGAATATGGAAGATACTTATGATTCAACTAGTACTGTTATATGGATTCATATTCATCTTTACTGTTGTCAGGTATAAAAAGGATCAAGATATAGCTTTTTTGGCTACATGCAGTCTCCACAATCTGTTAAATGCCTCTTTATTGTCTGAAAGTGGCCCTCCTATGCTTGATTTTGAGGTAACGAATACTACAGAGTTCTTGTTTAAAATGTTTCATGGTATGTTGATTTTTTTTTCATACATCTGGTTATATGGTAATTTTCAATCAAAGTTTAAAAATTTGGATTTGATTTGTTTTCATATCATTTAAATAATAGGAGAGCCACCTTGTTACTTTAGGATATAATATGAACTGGTACATTGTTTAAAAACCACCAACTTTATATTTAATTGTTGTTGTTTGGGTTAAGAACTTATGTGTAGTTCTGAAATCTCATATATACTTGCATCTGCTTATGGTCATTGGAAAAGAGTGTTAACTGGTTTTTTGTTGAATGTTGTTCTTCTGGTAATTGATTCATCTCTAAAGCAATTTCTCCCCTTTTCTAGGAGGAATGAGGGGACAGCTTCATAAGCATACTGGAATATCTGCTTATATAAATAATAAATTATAATGCCTGGGCATATATATGTCGTTAGTCTAATTCTCATAGTAAATGGTAAGTGAATATGAGGCTTTGTGATATTGGATGATGATGGTTTGAAGGACCACTATGGTTATTTAGTTGAACTTTGTTCTTTCAGAACACTAAAAACATATTCTTCTGATATTCATGATTGCCTAACTTAACCAATGATCGTGTATGGTCTTAAAAACAATAACTCTATTTATGGGTGTAAAGAAGTTAAAACCAATGCTTCAAAAATTGTTTCGACCAGATAATGGAGAAACAGTGGATCATATCATTGGTATAACCCATTGAATCAGTGCATGAACTGGAGATGATAAATATATTAGAACGCAAAAGTCAATTTAATGGTCTTCAGAAGTCAAAGTAAAGATAAAAAAAGGAAACAAATAACTACATGGAAAATAAACTATAAAATAAAGCAAAATAAATATATAAATAAATTATGTTAATGAAGGATAACTTAAATCTCTTCTATGCTGACTTTGTTATAGACTATGAGAAAACAACGCTGCATTCACAAATTGCACAAACACAATTATGGTGGGGGGCAGTTCAGGATTTTTTTTGTTCTAATATAAACAATAGAGAGCCAACAGTGGATGAAAGGAGAAGATCTTCTGGATGCAACCGCACATTATAAAATTTTGCAAAAACTGAGACTGGAAGTTAAGCCACAGCAAGATCTTGCTGGATGTCAAAGATGACAAGAACATGGATTTTTGTTTTGGGGCTGCAGATTTCTGAGGCGTCAGTCATTATTCCTCACCAATGAAATGTCATAGGATATATATTGTAGATTCTTTATTCTCATTAGAGAATAACGAACTTTAAGAAACTGTCTATTTCTCCAGTTATACTGGTTTTGACTTGTTGAACCACTTCAGAGGTTGCTATTGAACCCCAGTTGGATGCACCATGGAACTTGTTGCAATTTCTTAAATATTGTTTTGCTGCAAGATTTCCTACAAGTAGCAGATATGAAGTGGAAATGTCCTAGACAAAGGGGATACTTCTTGCATTCTCTAACTATAATTTGATCATCCTCTTGCTCCTGTTTTTTTCCCAAATTTTCCTTCATGTTACTGGAGGTTGTCTATAAGTTTGTTCTTCTGTTCAATACCTCTGCCATATTCTTTTCTCTAATAATTTCATAGTCCATGTTATTGGAAGTCTCATATCACCTGCCTCATGTCATTTGGTATAATTTAAATATCTATTAAGTTATGTTACATATTGCCAATTGGTTTTGTGTTAGAATCTTAACACATGTATAATTATATATTATGTAATATAGTTTTTGAATGCTTGTACTGTATCTTGTCTGGTTGGTACTGTGCAGCTTAAGATACTACATAAATGTTTATAGTCTAGATTTATGTGTCCCTCTGTATAAACAGTTCTTCTGTCTGTATCTTGCTGGGATTTTTAGCACTTGAGAAATTTAAATAAAATCATTGGTTGCAGGATTTGACTCTTGTTTTATCAACACTTCTACCTGTGGTTTCTATCAATAATGACAGCAAAGACCAATCAGATTTCTCTGTGGGGCTAAAGGTATTTACTATTGATTTTATTGGTTGGACACTTAGAATTATATGAATATGATAACTTCTGTAGTGCCTGTTGCTGCTATGGTCTAGCTTTACTCCTTTTTTACCAACTCAACTTTTATGTTTTGAATTTAGTAGTGCAACTCTTTTTAGTGTCTATTTATGACGTTACTTTTGTTTCTTGGAGTTCAGTTCCAATTGGAGGCATAATGATTAGGTTTTTTTTGGGTACCTTTTGTATTTAATGTGAAGGCTTATTGTGGCTGGGTAGGTCAGTGCAATTTGTCATTATCATTTTGTATAGGTGTTTCATTTCTGTTGGGTTGGTATATTTTTCTAGAATGCATTGTTAGCAATTTTAGCCTGCATAACTTGTCTCTGATTTTAAGACAATTGTCTTCTTTCACTTATGAGTTAAAATTAAAAACTCCTCCAAATAAGGAATGGTGTATTCGTCCTTAAATCTTAGTGGATTAAGACCACAATGTGTTTTGAATGAAAATCAAGATTGTGTGGGTACACCCTTACTTGCCTAGTTTAGTGGAGCCTTACCAGGATTAGATGCTGTGGTTTCTTAATGGGTTTTCTTTTTTATGCATGGAAAGGGTTTGGACTCTGTAGAGTCTTTTGAGATGATAATTCTCCATATTGTTCATGTTTTTGGTGGATGTCATTAGAGGTTTTCTCTGGCTTTGTGTTAGTAGTTTTCTTTCATTGATTTACTTTTAGATAAGGGTCCTCTGATGTGAGGCTATCTCTAAAGTGAATAAGGGTGTAGATGTACCTTCAATTTGAAGTATATCATAATCATAACCTTCTAAAATTTAAGCATCTATATTTACTTGTTTTGAGCTATCAATTTGTAAGAGCTATTTCCTTTTCCATTATCCAGAGTAAAGTTCAACATTTAATTTATTCAATTTTGTATCACAGATGTATAATGAGGTTCAGCATTGCTTTCTGACAGTTGGCTTTGTGTACCCGGATGATTTGTTTTTGTTCCTTGTAACTGTAAGTACTTAAAAATTGATAGTATGGCTGTAATTCTGTATGGTGTTAATTCTTTACAGTATTTTTTCTTTTGCCCCCTCCTCTCTTGTTGATGAAAAAAGAATTTTTACTTAGTTTAAAAGAGGAAAATATAATAGCAGAGAACTAAAGTCAACAAATAAAACATCAGGTTAAAGTAATTAAATTTCTAGAAGAAGCTTGTATGGAGACTTTAAATTAGATGAAGGCATAAAATAACTATTTAAATCTGGGGATTCTGTATCATTTTTCTTTATATTTCATTTTTGGTTGGTATGTTTTCATTAATAATTACAAAAAACCTCTTTTGTTCAAAATTTGTTGAAGAAAGAAACCAGGAATCAGGATTAAAAAAGGTGGCATTTTAATAATTATTAAAACTTATCAACTAAAGTGCAGGCCAAAATATACCAAACATCAGTGTAGGATGGATATAGTTTGTGTTTAGTTTTTGTTTTTGGTTGATATGTTTTTTGCTAATAATGCACCAATCAAATACATTGTCAATTTCTTGTTTTTCAATTTAAAAATGGGTAAAATATTTTTTTTTTGTCCATGAAAATATTTCAAAATAGTACCTTCATTTTTATAGAAACATGTTTTTACTCTCTAATTAGTAAAACCCCATTACTTTTGGTAAAACATTTTAGTTCATACATTTATCAAAAGTAATGCGTTTTTAGTTCTTTATTAGGGAATAAAAACATTTTTCTATCAAAATGTGGGGATTATAACCACAAAATTCTTACAGGTACTAACGAAAGCAACATTTTTAAATATTGAGTGACCAAAAAATATTTTACCCTTTTAAACATTAATTGTTATTAGCATGTTCAATTCAAGAGGGCATTTTATTGATAGTATTTTTTATTCCCTGGTTTGTCAACTATTTTATTCTTTTTCCAAGGAGAACAATATTTTGCTTTTCTGTTTCTTGTAATATTTAAAAATTATGCACAAGTCTCGATTGTCCCTGCTTTCAGAAATGCAGGTTGAGGGAAGAACCATTGACTTTTGGTGCACTTTGCATTTTGAAGCATCTTTTGCCAAGGTTTCCGGTTTTTTCATACCTGATGATAATTGTTCATAACTATTGAGTAGAAGGTAACCTACAATTCTTATTTGAAGGCTGTCTGAAGCTTGGCACAGTAAAATATCTCTGCTAGTCGAAGCTGTAAAGTCCTTGCTTGAGGAGCAGAATTTAGCTGTTCGAAAGGCACTATCTGAGGTAAATCTTGTTTTTTTAATATTTAAATAAACAATGCCATCGTTCACTAATAATAGGTCATATATTTTGATCTCAGTCTTTCCTTATTTGTTTTTAGTTAATTGTGGTTATGGCCTCTCACTGTTACTTGGTTGGTTCGCCTGGAGAGTTGTTCATTGAATATCTTGTACGCCATTGTGCTATAACTGATCAAAATCGGAGTGATCTTGAGAACACACCAAATAAGAGAATAGAGGTACCCCCTTGTCCCCTCCATGAAAGCAAAAAGATGCAAGCAAAGTGCATTTCTTTGAATTGCCATGAGTTCTCATGATATTTTAATAAAATAAGTTATGTTGGGGCTTGATACTAAACTATATGTACTTGTTATTTTCTTGGATATAGTATTCCTCTTTGCTCCAGTGTTTTCAGAGTTTTAGGGAGGCTTTCCTATGTTGATATGATTGGAAGACTCTGTTGTTTTTAGTTTTCCAGTCTCTTTCCCCCTTTCAATTGAATGTTCATAGTTGTAATTATTTTTCCTCCTCTCTTCTATCATATCATTTATTTTATTTATCACAGACACCTACTTTTTTATTATCATTATTAGATGAAAATCGGAGCAGTTACTTCTGGTGAATTAAGAGCAGTTTGTGAAAAAGGTCTCCTTTTGGTAACTATAACGATTCCTGAAATGGAGGTAATTATTATTTTTTTCTTTTTGATCAATTTTGTTTTAGTGATTTCTATTGTTTTGTGGGCCCATTATTTCTTTTAATTCTCTATTTGCTAATTCTACTAAAAAATTCCTTTGAATTGATATTGGACTTTACAGCATATTCTTTGGCCTTTTCTGTTGAGGATGATTATTCCACGGACCTACACGGGTGCTGTGGCCACGGTAAAAGTTCTGTAGGGAATTTCAACATGATTTTCAGATGCTTGATTAATTTTATCCGTCCATGTTGTATCATTTACAATTTGTATGGTTGTGTGCATGCACTGTGAAATTGAAGTTTTGTTATTGCAGAAAGTTTTCTTTGGCAATGACATCATTACTACTGTACACAGGTGTGCAGGTGTATCTCAGAGTTGTGGCGGCATAGGTCATTTAGCAATGATATGTTGAGTGAGTGTAAAACCCGTCCTGATATACCAACTGCTGAGGTATGATATAATTAATTGTTTGGTTTATTTTTACACTTATAATTACTTGTACTTTCAATTATTAAAAATGAATCATTCTTTGCTATATTCAGCACATATCACCTGGTTGAATAATTTATGCTTGATATAGGAACTTCTTGCGCGCTTGGTGGTGCTTTTGCATAATCCTCTGGCAAGGGAGCAATTGGCCACCCAAATTTTGACAGTGAGCACATGACATCCTTTGATATTTTCACACTCTTTCTTTTTGAATTATTCTTTGATGTATTGTCACACAGCTTCTTAGTTTGGTTTCTTAAGAGAAAACTCTACCAAATCAAGAAGTTTAACACCATCATCATGTGGATGTCCACCAATGTCCCACAAACCTGTCTATCCTTTTTTATACAATAATGCTTTCATCTTTTCTAGATAAAAGTTGAAGGTTGGAGAGCACATAAACCAAATATGAAGTTCTTTTTCGGATCCATTTTGTTTCTCTTTAAACAATGAATTTGTACTCCATTTTTTATCGTAGCATAAGGAATGAATATCTCAACCCAAGAAGCTTTAGGACAAACTTTTAAGATACTATTTGGAAGTTTCCAAACCGTATCCTAGAAAAAAATTTAAAAATCAAATGAAAAAATTGATACTTTCTGCACATGTATCTAGAAATTTCTTGTGAAAAAAATGTATGAAGTTCTTGCACTTTATATTGGTTCATGTATGATATCTAATATTGATACTCTAATATACTTCATTGATATGTATCAATGAAATATCCAAATCTAGGAAAGCTTCGATGCTTTTATTTATTCGATATCTAATACTTATACTTTTAGATGCTTCACTCACTGATACATGTTTCCGAAGTATCCATGCCTTTAAAATATTTATATCCAGTAAAACTACAATTGTCTAAGTGGCGGACCCTTTAAAGTATTTATACCCTATAAAACTACAAAAACAATTTAAGTATGAGTAATATAGAAATAGAAACATTGTCTCTTTGTAAACCAAAGTGAAAGTTGTTCTATGAATTATTTTAAAAAAGCAATGAGATTGGTAGTGTTATTCCTATATCTAAATAATAGAAATTAATTTATGATGACAATGATTTATAATTGTTTTATTTCGGCAATGTCTAAGAAATGTGTTTTTAATTTGGATTTGCATTATACATTGTTATGTTTTATGAATTTTTACATATTTTTAAAGATGTATCTTACAAGTATCATATCATGTCCTTTTTAGAATAATGTATTGCCGTATTGGATACCCATCACATTGTATCCAGTAAGTTTACCAGCCATCCTGTATCATATACAAAAAATTGAAAATTAAACAAAAAAGATTGGATACTGTTTTTGTACGTATCTAGAAGTATTCAAGTGTATGGGTATCTAACACGGGTACGACATTGATGATTTTGCATTTTTGAAGTATCCGGGCTTCATAGGAGAAGAGATAAGTTCTGCTTCAAGGATGATAGTTTTGGCATTTATGTATTTTGTACAAGTCACAGTAAGAATGCTGTTGGATTGAGGTCGAGTCTTAACTCTTTTGAAATGTCATTCAATCAATATCGAATATTATTTTATTATTAAACAGTAAAACTTAAGGGAACTGTAAGGTGCATACAAAATTTGTTTTTTCAAGGTTTACTTAATAAGTTAATATATTTGATGAAATTTTTGTTGGTTGATGGTGTCATTTTCTTAGGAACTAAGAATTGAAAAGAGAAAGAAAATAAATATTTTATTGAATGTAACGAAAAGAGCAAGAAATAGGAGAGTACTCTCTTCCAAGGGTTTTCTCTTCACAAAGGATTTCTCCTATCAAAAGAGCTAATGCTCAATTTACAAAATGAATCACCCCTTCTTGTATCATTCTTTCCTTATTTATATCTAACAAAGTAACTAACTACATCGATATTATTCTAACTACTTATATTGTAACAATACACCCCTCCTAAAATTAAATTTGTCCTCAATGTTGGAATAGTGGAAGCTTGATCCTATTACTGATCCTCATTACCATTATCTTTATTTGCCCTTCCTGAAAGCATTGTGATGCTTTCCTACTATAGAAATGAGAACCAGTGGCTTTGGCATTCATATTCAGGTTTGGTGGCTTGGGTGGTGGTGGGGATAATGGTGGATTTTGTATGACAACCCTTGACCTTTCCTTCTGCATTGAATCTAATGCTAAGCTGTGTGATCCATAGAGGCAATGAATTTTAATGTTAAAATTCCAAGATTCTAATACCATCGATGTTCCAACCACCCTCACTATCAAATTTGGGTCCAACAATGATTCTTAGTTCTTAATATGGAAATTTGAATTTGGAAAAAAAAAAATAATGTTTGGTTGCATCTCCACCTTCAACTTCGTTTTTGATTAACTCTATAATTGGGTTGTCAAGAAACTAATCTTGACACCCCACAATCTTCACACTCTTTATTAATGCATCACCGTCTTCCTCCATCATAATATTTGTTTCTCTTGCTAATTTCCCTTCAATTTTTGTTTCTTCTCCACTACAAAAGGTGTGATTCTTGATTTATGAGCATTCTTCTTTATTTCTATTTTCTTATTTCAAGAATTGCAATGAAACACCATCATACTCAAAACACCACTCTTTGAATGAGTTTCTCCTTCTATTTCTTGTCCAAGAACTAGCCTCTCCTGCAACGCATTTTGACCCCCTTCTCTCCATACTATTATTTTCTTAATCAAATGTGGATCACTCTTTTCATTCAATATCTTGTGTAACATGTGTTTCAACTCTAAAATTTTTGTCCTTCCTTCAAGAACAATGTGGAAGTCTATTATTTTGTTGTAAGTTTCCATCTCAATGTGCTCTTTCTTCATGGCAGTCTATCTTTTTAAAGATGTGGGCACCATATCTTTGAATCCTTTTATCAAAGCTGTTGAAAATGATTCCCAATTTGAATGCGGGTTATCTTGCCACCAAAAATAGAACCACGACATTGCCACACCCTCCATGCTCATAATGCATGTTGCAACTTATGAAATAAATCAATTTCTTGCACCTTAAAGGATTTTTTAGCCCTAACAATCCAACCAATTTGATCTCTCCCCACAGGAGCTGGTAGCTTCGCCATGGCTAAAATTTTTGTTTCCTCCTTCTCTAACATGGTTCTCCCTCGAACTTGAAGATCTGACTGGTCAAACCATTTTGTTAGGAAACCAGAATTGAATAAAATGAAAAGAACAAAAAATAAGAGAGCACTCTCTGCTAGTAGGGTTTTCTCTCACAAAGGTTTTCTCTTCACAAAGCGCTAATGCCCAATTTACAAAATGAACAACCCCTTCTTGTATCCTCCTTACCCTATTTATATCTAAATACTTAACTAACTACATCATTATTATTCTGACTATCTTAACTAACTTCTTCTTTTTATACCCTAACAACTTAATGACTTTTTCTTACTTCAAATTTAGGTGCACACATTTCATTTGATGACATATAAATAAACATATTTTTTGCAGGTTTTATGTCTTTTGGCACCTCTATACCCAAAAAATATCAATTTGTTTTGGCAAGATGAGGTAAAATTTTTTGCTAAAATTTATGTTATTCAATTAAAATATTCAGTTCTTTGTGAATTTTTTTACCTTTTGTTAGAGGTTGACAATCAGTCAAGTTTTTGGTTATGCATTATTTTTGAAGCATGTCGTAATTGTGCAAATAAATATTGGTGAAGGTATAGCAATCTCATGTTAATTGTTCATCTTGTTGAAATCAATATCAAATATCTTCTATTTATTATTCATTAGTTTATAGGCAAGTATATTGGATTTACAGACAAGTCATGTCCCATTTAGAGCAAACAAAACTCCTTTATTTATGTGTATTTATTGTAATAAGCCTGTATAAATTTTGTTCATTGAAGTCATTCAAATATACTGAGAATCTGAAAACAAATTTTTGTGCTTTGTGAGGCTTTCTGTCACTGTAAAATTTTTAGATGAAGAAGACAGTCTAGGCGTTTTATAAATTTTTATCAGATGTTTCTGCATAATTCTGTATTTGATATTGATAAATAACCGAAAAGCTTCCCATACTTATGTTTATTTTATAATATAGTTTATCCTAATATGCTATTTCTGTTATATTACAACTTACAATTTCAAGATGGTTATTATAGACCAAAGTGTAATTAATTTGTGTATTTGGTAAGCTCTAGATTCCGAAGATGAAGGCATATGTTAGTGACACAGAGGACTTGAAACAGGATCCGTCTTATCAAGACACTTGGGATGACATGATAATCAATGTGAGTGTGATTGACTTGATTAACATCCTCCCCTCCCCTCCCCTTGTTCAACTGTATAGTAGTTCTATATTTTGTGGGAGGTACCTGTCATGGAGTCAAACATCTTCCAGCATGATGTTTTTTATCATCTATTTTTTTTTCCGCAGTTTCTTGCAGAATCTTTGGATGTGATCCAAGATGCAGATTGGGTTATGTCTCTTGGAAATGTTTTTGCCAAACACTATGAACTTTATGCTTCTGATGATCAGCACACTGCACTTCTACACCGGTATAAATTCTCTAACAAAGTGTTATTTTTTTCTAAATGCAATAGAAACATAACATGTTAAATATTGCTGTGTTACTTGAGAGGTTGCTTGCTTCACAGTTTATGTTATCTATACAAAATAAGGCAAATAAAATTGTTTTTGTACTGGTAAGATTCATGTTCCCAACAGAATTTGAAATAAATAGTTAATGATTCATCATAGGGTGTCTTTTAAATGCAGTGGTTTTTGTAGGTGTTTTAAATGCAGTGGAATTTGAAATAAATAGTTAATGATTCATCATATGTGTTCAACTGGTTCTACTGACCAGTTTCTATAGTGTTGAGTTGTTGAACTGCTAGTACACTTTTGATGTTATCCATCATATTGGTATGGGGATTGGTTCGGAGTTCAGTCTGTTCATTGTTCCTGTTAATTTGGCTTTTACGCACTGGTGAAATTTGGATATGTATGATCTATCTACCTACGTAAAGGAACCTTGGGTTGGCTATATTATATTCCTCCTGTCCCTCACTGTTCAGTCTTTCACCCCCTCCTTTTGTTTAGGGGCCTCTGCTGTGCTTTTGTAAGACTGCTGTTAGCTTTTTCTCTAGGCAAGTGGATTGAGACAACTGTAAAAAAGGTTGTCGTGTTTTCAGGGACTTCGCAGATATCAATTAATTCTAGTTTTCATTAAATCAAACATTAACTTTAGATAATGATTATATGATTGAAATGATTGAGGTAGAAATGATTAATACAGGAAATGCAATGAGGTAAACTATTGAATTTGATTTCCCTGAAAACAGATTTGCAACCTATTATCTATATATACGTGAATTTCATTCTCAGTTGAAGTAATAAACATTCATTCCATATTAATTCCTTAATAATGGAGTTCTAAGAATCCTAAGCAACCAATCAATTCCTTGATAAACTAGTTAAAATTCTTGCATTAGGCACAACTTCATGTATAAGTAATCTCAACAGTTAAGGTTACAGATGGATTTGAATCAAATCAGATCAGAAACAGAAATCACTTTCTAATGTAAATCTATTCCTTTAATCATGAACTTATATTCCTCTAAATCCAAGCCTTAAAACAAATCAAATCAATACTGGAGAAAGAAATTCATATATATATATATATATAGCAATAGAGTTACAGAAGAGTTAAAAAGTTACATCCAATCCAACGACTGACAAATTAGCAACACATGATGGGAGAAATCCTAAATGTATAAGAAGGAGAGCTCAAATCCAACCAGCCTCTGTTCTCTAACCCTGGTTCTTGTACATTCTCTTTTTCTTTTCGTATCCCTTTGTATCCTCTTTTCTGTTTTGTTCTTCTATTTATATCCAAGGAAATTCGCAGCCTTTTAATCAATCCACTCAGCGCTTCTCAATTTGCTCAGTGGAATGAGGTTTTTCGTCCTGAAGGCTTCCATCCTCTGAGCGGATTTAAGAATTGCTCAACGGTTTTTGTTCCTTGGGAATGGTCCTCTCTGCCTGATTTTTGCTTAGCGGATGAGAATCCACTCAGCGCTTTAAGCCCAATGTTGCTCTCTCCTTATTATTACCTATATTTTGACACAGAATTGCACAAGTTTGATTGTTTTACTCTTCAACACTCAAAATGTGAGCAATTAGATAATACTAGGAGTTTCTACTACTGATTCCTTCATAATTACATGAGATAAATGTCATAATTAAGCATAAAAACATGAATATTTGACACTTATCAACTGCATGCACTTGAAAAGCTTTAGGTTTATGCCCCCAAGAGACGTAATATTGCTTTAGAAATGGTTCTTTCCTCCCTCTTATCTAATAAGCACCAAAGTACTTGGGGAATCCACCTTTTAAAATTACTTAAGGGGGAGAACCAACACTTAAATATTCCACAAGCATCCCATATTATAGCACTATCCTTGAGAGTTGGAAATTTTCATTCTACAACACTTCACTGGTATTAGTCCTTATTTATACTAATCATTATCCTAACTAATTCTTATCAAAAGAATTTTCCATGATGATGCAATAATTATGCTGTAGCTAGATGCACGGAAGAGTAGTAGCATATATATTACTCGTTGCCATGCACATTAGTTTCTTTCCTTATGTCAAAACCAATAAATTCAGTAGACAGAAACTAGTCCAAATTAGCTATAGAGAAAATTCAGTTATTTATTTCCCTAAAAGGCCAAATATTGAATTAAAGAGAGAACAAGGTAAGAACCAATGGTGAATCAATTCCATCTTGCACCACAATATATTACACCAATGGTGCCCTTCTATTAATAAAAAAAATTGTGGTGTTGTTTTTAGGAATATTCTTATTGGGAAAAACCCAAGTCTTGTATTGGTTAGAGATAGTGTCAAAATACAATATATAAGTGGGGGAATCTTCACCTTACACACCAGTTTTATAGAGTTAAATTAGATCTAAATTCATTTTGTAAGCTCTAAAGCATGTGATGAGAAGTGACTGAAACAGATGAGCAAATGACCTATAGCATTTCATTTATTTATTTATTTTTTTATTCCCACTCTGAGCATAAATGCACATCTACAACAGTTTTTTTTTCCTACTTTTGTCATAACCCTGGATTCTCCAATTTTGTTTTGTATATGCCTGCTTTCTTAAAATTCAAGTGTCCATTATTTAAGTCTGGAAAGGGTATGAAAAATGATATTAAACTTGAACACAGGTGCCTGGGCATTCTGCTTCAAAAGGTTAACGACAGAGCTTATGTACATGACAAAATAGATTGGATGTACAAGCAAGCAAATATTGCAATTCCAACTAATAGACTTGGGTTGGCAAAAGCAATGGGATTGGTAATTTAGTCTCTTGTTTAGTTTTTTTGATCTTATTGGATTCAATTTCCTTTTCGTATTGCTTCTTAACTTAATTTCCATTTATTAAGGTTGCGGCATCACACTTGGATACAGTGTTGGACAAGCTGAAGGATATTTTAGACAATGTTGGACAAAGCATATTGCAAAGGTTTATGCCAGATTTGTTGGATTGAGTCTATACATTTTTTTTTTGGATTAATTCATCACCTGACATTATAAACCCTTGCTTATCCATGACTATTGAACATAATTTGTTGACAAACTATAATTGTCTTTTTATTTTATTTTTTATTTTTATTGTTGTCAAATTGTTCTTTGATGAAGTTTTGATGTTGTTCAGATCATACTGCCACACTCGAGAATTGTTTTCATCCTCCCTTCTCTCCTTTATGTTTTATTTTCATGTTTTGGATGTTTGGAGTTCAAAACCCTCATCATGTTTTTTATTTATAACTTGTGAAATTGTGGCTTCTTGTATAATATGTCAAGATACCAGTAACAGAAACCAAGGAATCAATTTACGTAGATCCTCTTTAGTAGAAAAAGGAAAATATAGAATGTTAATAGGGTTTTAGCCTTTTCAATGGGTTTACTACTTTCCTGAATCCTTTTACACAACCACTTGATGCACATCTCCTAATACCTTTGGGCTTTTCTCTTGTGTTTTTCCCTTGCTTTCATATACAACCCAAATCCCCATTCTGTTCCGTACCACATTATACTTATTGTCTTGAGTCTCTTACCTACCCTTCCGTCAAGTTTTCTTAAAACTTTTCTGTTGGATATTCCACATCGACCAATGATATAACCAAATTATAGCATATAAATGGTGTATAAACCTCTCCTTATAAGTCACCTGTTATGATATTTGAGTTTATCGTAATGAGATTTGTTGGGTCTACTGTGCCACCTGTTATTGAACTATTATCGAACTACCCTTAAATATCCAGTCCACGTTCTCAAGATGTTCAGTCCTTGATCTAAAGAAATTCTACATTGATTAAATATATAATCAAGTTGGATGCAAATATTATCTTATAATTTTGTAGGATCGAGTTAGGTTAAAATCCATTTTATGTTAGTTTCTTTTCTTTTCCTTTCTAAGGTTCTATTACATTCAATTATTATTATTATTTTTTTATCATGTATGCTTTGTTTTCTGTAGAGTAAGTTATGCATAAGAACTTGATATCAGTTTAGAGAGAAAGATAGATATTTATCTCCTTTCATTGAACATTAACAGTTGCATCATGTCAACAGTTCCTTAACTTAACCCTTTGTCTGGTTGTAGCTTTCATTTGTTGCGGGATTGCTTTAGTTTCAAATTTGGTCTGATTTGGCTGTAGCTTTCATTTGTTGCAGGATATTGTCAATATTCTCGGATAATTTCAGAACAGAAGAGTCTGATGACATACATGCTGCTTTAGCACTAATGTATGGATATGCTGCAAAGTATGCCCCATCAACAGTTATTGAAGCCAGAATAAATGCCCTTGTTGTAGGTCATCTTTTTTCTCTGCTTTTGACTTTGTTGTCTTCGCTTTATTTCTGATTAGATACCAAAGGAATAAAAAATGTTTCATTTGGAACCATTTTCAGTTCTGTTTAAGTGCCGCTTTAATTAAGCACTGTTGAAAGAGAGAAAAACATGTTACATAGTTCTTAACTATACAGCTGAGAAATACAAATAGCTAGACATATTTGACTCCTATATACATGATTTGATAAGCCTATTAATTAGATTCTAATGAATTTTGTTCTAATAAGATATCCCTGCAATTACAAAGATTCTAAACAAATAAGGAAACAAAACATAAAATATAACAAAAAACATCCTAAGAAAGATAGTGAAATTGTTGAATCGACGTGTAAAATTGGTTTGGGAGAACTGGGTTAGCCTGAATAATAGTGCGGTGGCAAAGGAATAGGAATAGATTTATTAAAATATATATATATATATATATATATATATATATATATATATATATATGATCTTTTAAACATGAGGTTGAACTCTTGAGTTTAATGGTGATGTATTATCTATTGTAAAATAAGTTGTATTTTTAATTAATTAAAAACTTTCACTAATATAACTTTTGGAGATTAGATGTATATTTTATAGAAGTCAGTCTTATTATTCAAGTTAAATATAATTGTTATGAATGATAAAAATCTTATAATTTGGTTAGGCTATTTAGACTGAAGTAATTAGATATTTAACTTATTTTGTTTTTCATTTCAGTTAAAATTTGATTGATAATTTTTTTTAAGATTTATAATGGGTTTAAGTTGATTAAATATTTTAGATTGTGACATGATATATTATTTGTATCATTATATAAATATATGTATTATATTTATGGAGAAGATCTATAATTTTTGTGTTACGATCCCATAATTTACAATCTTGTAAACCCCCCACGATAATTTTGATTTTAACTACCTTGGGGATAGGGGTTGTTGGAGGTAGCAGGACATTTGACGGAAGGGAAAACCTGGTAGAGAGCACACTTTGACAACACTACCAAAGAAAGGTGTGACCTGTTGGAGTTCCAAATTTTTTTTTTGGGAACTACCGAACAAACAAAATGTCTTTCACTTAAATAGTCTTCAGAAGATTAACAATTGTGTATACACGTTTGGAGGTTGTTTTTTCAAATCTGTTAAAAAAGTGCTTGTGGAAACTATTAGAAGTTGATTTACTGGTACAGAAATCTTTAAAGATGCTTTTGGATGATTAAATCATTTTTTTTTTCAAATGAAAAATTTCCAATTTTAATAAATAACTGTGTCGTTTTGTTTCCGTGATCAAAAGTTGATTTTGTTGGAAAATGATAGTATCTAAAACAAAAACTAGTTCAGATGCTGGAAAACAATAAAACTAGTGTCTAAACTAAAAGAGTAAGCGGAGAGGATAGTGCATAAGGAGTGTTTATACCGAATATCGATTCATCCACACATATCACTTGGGCTATGTCTAGTTCCTATCTCACCAGGACTTTGTCATTGTTATCTCTCTCATTACCCAATGTATTCTCAATCCTGTATGAGCTTTCCTATAACCTTAGTAGCCTCAACCATAATTCAATAGTTGTTTCATGTACATTAACTAATCCAATTATGTTGGTGCAAGTGGCACTAATACTCTCGATTAGCTTCTAGAGTACCTCAATCTGGTACATGAACTCCGTCACTATATTAGAACCACAGAGAGAATAATCTGGTACTGATTGTATTGAATGCTTGAAAATGTGGAGAAGGTTATTCAGTTACTGACTTACAAGCTTATACTATTAGGATTGACATTTAGTCAACTGAGGCAGTAATATGGTAAAGTACACGAGATAAAACCGTAACATGATAGAGAGATACTCAAGAAGAATAGTCTCTTCCAAATATCATCAAATGCTGCATGTCATGTCACTTTCACTGTAGCAAAATTTTTACTGTCTTTTTGTTTGTTTCTCAGCTTTTGGAATTTGTTTCATCCGAGTTTAAATGTTTCCTTCAATTTGAATCTTTCTTTTGTGCTGGATTTTTTCAATGGAATATTCTCTGTCCAGATTTTGCTACTGGCGCTCTTTTGTAAAGTGCTTACATTCAGATTCTGAATGGTTGTAGTGATTCTAGATCAATTTTCCATCAGTTCCTTTGCCTTTAGCATTTGTACCTTGTCATCCAAGTTGGTTTCATTCTTTTGAAACAAAGGACAAACGCACATGACTACCCAAGCTTTATAAGAAGTATACTATTTATATCTCTAGTTGATATTAGAACTTAACTCCTTGAGAGCTTATGTCTCAGTGACTGCACACAATAACGCTTCACATTGCTTTATGGCCTATTGTAGGTAGTCCTTTGAGGCACTGGCTATGAACTTTGATAGATGATAATGAAGGTGGGTTGGGGTGACCCAAGGGGACCATGTGAGGATGGATCTGTAATAACCTTTTTTTCAAAATCATATACAGTTTTGCATTTGTTACAATTTTTCTTTGGTTGTTTTCCTTGTTTTTAATTTGAGGAATTTCAGAGAACAAAAACAGGAACCAAACATATAAAAGCTACATGTTTTCTATATTTCGAACAAATATATTAAACCATTTTTAATATTTACATAGTGAAAACAATTTTCTAAAAGTTTTTATTTGCCTTTTGAAAACCAAATAAAGTTATAGAAACAGTTCGTAGTGGAACCTTTTCTTTTTTTTCAACTGGTTTCCTGCCTTAACCTTCTGTTAAAATTATGCATGAAAGTACAAAATGGTAAAACAAGTATTAGAAATCCTCTTTGATGTGAGTGGGTATGTTGAAAATCTCCCTCGATGAGAGGGGTGTATTGAAATCTCCCTTGATGTGAGAGAATGTGTTGAAATCGCATGTTGATTAGAGATATGACCAACTTATAATATATAATTGAGATACAAGCCTCATCTTATAAGCCACTTTCGTAGGATTGAGTTAGACATTTCTCAATTTCTAATACTTGTAAATGTGATTCTTGGGTTATTTGGATATGTTTGTATCAGGGAAAGTTGATTTGATTTTTTCATTTATGGTCAGGGTACCAACATGCTCTCTCGACTTCTTAATGTGCGTCATCCCAAAGCAAAGCAAGCTGTCATCACAGCAATTGATTTACTAGGTTTATAGTTATCTTCTCAGAATTTAATTACCATTCATTTTCATCTTTATCCCTTTCATTCTTTACCTGCCTGATATTGTTGTCATCAACACTTATCTTCTGTGTTTTTTCCTTTCATTTAATTGAAAATTTGATTTAAAAAAATTGATTGCTACAAAACCCACTTTAGAAGGTGAACATTCGTGAGATTTGTAGTTATTTTGCCCCATATACAGAACTTGTAGAAATCACACAATTCATGATTTGTGAATGTTTAATAAATACCTTTTATGACTGACTTTGTTTGATTAGTTTTGTGAGCATGATGTAATTTTGATATTGAAGGCAATGCTGTCATTAATGCTTCTGAAAGTGGCTCACCATTTCCATTGAAAAGAAGGGACCAACTGCTTGATTATATTTTAACTTTAATGGGTCGGGATGACGAAGATGGCTTTGCTGATTACAATGACCTATTGCGTACTCAGGTATATAAAATTGAGTTATGCCTAAGATAAAGACACTTGTTTTAGGCTGAGAATATTTTAGTTGGCTAATGTGTTTTCTTATATTTAGGCCCTTGCTATAAGTGCCTGCACTACGTTGGTCTCGGTGGAACCAAAATTAACAGTTGAAACTAGGAACCATGTAATGAAGGTATGTGGGTTTCATTTGATTTATTTATAATTCAACTCTTTGGTCATGGAGTTTCTTGATGAATTTGACAGGCCACTTTGGGGTTCTTTGCTATACCAAATGATCCAGTTGATGTTGTCAATCCCCTTATAGACAACTTGATTACCCTTTTATGTGCAATTCTTCTCACTGGGTAATTTAAGTTAAAAACTTCATATTATTTATTCTGCTTAAGTTTCTGGTTTGTAATGTTACCTGTCTTTTTGAACATTATTTAACTTTGTTGTTTTCTTTTGAACTATGCATCATTGTATTTTCATTGTTCCTCTTTAATATATAAAAAAAATGTTTTTGTTTTGTTTTGTTACATCTGTTTTGATTCTATCCTGGGCTATCACTTGTAATATGTTGTTGGTGTCGCAGCTTATGCATTATAAACATAATATCTTCATCTTTCATCTTGCTCTCTCCAAACACACCCAGTACTCAATTTATGTCATTAAATGTTTTCCATACATACTAGATCATCCTGTGTATGTAGAGTTACTTTTTCTTATTTGTACTAATTGGTAAAAACATAATATTTAGTGGAGAAGATGGAAGAAGTCGAGCAGAGCTGCTAATGCTTATCTTGAGGCAAATTGATCAATTTGTCTGTTCGCCCATTGAGTATCAGAGGAAAAGAGGCTGCCTTGCTGTACATGAGATGCTTCTAAAGTTTCGGATGATTTGTGTTAGTGGGTATTGTGCACTGGGCTGCCATGGGAGTTGTGCACATAACAAGCAAATGGACCGAACTCTGTTTGGAAATTTTTCAAAGCTACCATGTAAATATGTTCCATTAGATAAGTTTGAATTGCTCTTCTTTCAGATATTCTGAAGTATATTTTTTCTTTTCAACCACCAGCTGTATTTGTACTGCCAACTCGAGAAGCTTTGTGCTTGGGAGATAGGGTAATAATGTATCTTCCACGTTGTGCAGACCCAAATTCTGAAGTCAGAAAAATATCAGCTCAAGTAAGTAGTATCTGAGAAATCCATCCCCTACAATCTCTCCTCAGCATTTGTATAGTTTCAGGAATATAACACGGTCTATATTCTATAGAGAGGACATTGTGGACTTGTTCTTAATTAAATCTATTTAATTGTTTCTGTGCAGATTCTTGATCTACTATTTAGCATCTCTCTTTCGCTTCCAAGACCTGCTGGTTCATCTATATCTGCTGAAGATATAGAATTATCATACAGGGCATTATCTTCTCTCGAGGATGTTATAGCCATATTGAGGAATGTAAGTTCACTAACTTTGTTTTATTACCTTGCTTCTTGTTCTTATTTGTCCATCTTTTATTTTATAGTTGCAGAACATGAGACAAAAGATCTTCATTTTCATGTATATTTGTATCTATGTGCAGGATACTTCTATTGATCCATCAGAAGTTTTCAACAGGATTGTTTCCTCCCTCAGCATTCTGTTGACAAAGGAGGAGGCAAGCGTCTATGATTCTCTGTGTGTGTATGTATTGTGTCTAATTTATAATTAATAACTGTGTTGCCACTTGTGTACAGATGGTTGCTACACTGATTGGTTGCTCAGTTGCTATATGTGATAAAATCAAGCAGACAGCTGAAGGGGCTATTCAAGCTGTTGTTGAATTTGTTACAAAGAGAGGGGGAGAATTGACTGAAATCGATATCTCAAGGTTTAAAGCATAGTGTATATACCAACGCTATGTTACTGGAAAAACCACCTTTGTTGATATCATATTGTCTTTTGAGCTTGTAAGGTATAGGTTATTGTGACTTCACATAATGTTTTTGCCTACAGGACAACCCAATCGCTGATATCTGCCGTTGTGCATGCAACTGACAAGCATTTGCGTGTGGAAACTCTTGGAGCTGTATCCTTTTAATATTCTAATATTTTAAAGTTAATATATTTCGAGTAATATCTTGTCATAATTTTAACTTGTTGGAATCAACACAGTTGTTTATATTATTGGGAAGACATTGTTTTTTCTTCTCTCAACATATATATAATCAGTATATGTTGTTTACTGGTAGATCCCCTAATAAAATAACTAGTATGTGTGTAAGGAGAGGAAAAAATGTGAGATGCACTTGATCAAAATTAGTTGAGTGAATATTCTAACTAACTGCCTAGCTGGCAGTAGCATCATGGGGTGCACCTGTTGTATGGGGGAAAGAGAGGGTATAAGTTGGGGGAGGCTGAGAGGTGATATGGGCAGGAAGGAATTGGCTCTCTCAATTTTGTCCATATTATCATTTTTTTTCCTTTTCCTACATCACCCTTGTATTTCTCATGTTTAGTCCTGGTATCGTCTTGATACAGGTTAGGTTTTCACTGATAATGCAAATCTGTCTCTGATTTTACTTCATTATTTCTGGTATCTGTTATTTACTACTTACAAATTCATCCTTTACTTTCTAAAAAGATTTCTTCTTTGGCTGAAAATACTAGCCCAAAAACTGTTTTTGACGAAGTCCTGGCTACTGCTGGAAGGGATACGATCACAAAGGATATATCCAGGTTACGTGGGGGATGGCCTATGCAGGATGCATTCTATGTATGTCTCATTGTTTTCTGTATTAACTTCTTTAAATCACTGTTTTATCGATCATCTGCTGTTCATTTTTATTCAAGAATGTATTTGCTCATAGCAGTGATTGGATTAGAAAGAAAAGCAGGGCTCTAAAATTTGTTGCTGTGATGTTGCACAGATATGGGGTTAGGTATCAATGTAGATAAAGAGAGGGCTGAGAGGGTGTATGCTTAAAGAAATAGAAGAGTCAGAGGTTAAGACAGACAGGATTGCTAGTGTAGTGACAAATTTTCTCGGTAGTTGGTTGGGTGGTTAAATAGAAGTAAGCTGTACAGAGTGGGATTGAGAAATAAGATTGTTAGCCAAACTGAGTCTGGGAATTCAATTGAGTTGGGAAACCCTTGTAGAGTTATAGTCTCCTGAATCCTGATTTATTACCCCTCCAATAACAGATAAACTGTTCTTTCCTCAGTTTCCATTTTATTCTCTTAAGCACTTTGCTACTGATCATCCTGAGTTTCATTTTGTCATCTTTAGTCCCATTTGAAGATTTTTATTTAAAAAAAAAATTAATTGATTTATTGATTGCAACCTTTTCCAGGCATTTTCTCAACACATGGTACTGTCGGTTTTGTTTCTAGAACATGTGATATCTGTCCTTAGCCAGATTCCGATCCTAAAAGGTGATGTGGACAGAGTTGAGGATAGCCCCGTTGATGGTCAAACAGAAGATGGCAAACTGCAAGCTGCAATTTTTGCTCTTACTGCGTTCTTCAGGTGTGTTATCAGCAATGCCTTTGTTTTTTAAGATACATAAATGAGGCAAGAATTTTACAGACCATTGTTTGACAGAGGAGGGGGAAAAGTTGGAAAAAGGGCTGTTGAACAAAACTATGCTTCTGTTCTTTCTGAGCTTACACTGCAACTTGGAAGCTGTCATGGATTAACCTATTCCGGTCAGCATGAACCATTGAGGTGACGACATTTAGAAACTGTGATTCTGTTTTTACCTCTTTCTGTTCTTACTGAGCTTACATTGCAATTTTACTTGCATGTTAGCCTCCACATTTTGGTTGCATGTTAAGTATATCTGTATGTATTTTATTTTGTTTTACTTATAGATAAAACTTTCAAATTTAAATGTTAAGGATAATTTAAAGAATTCTATGTTTTGAAATCTAAGGTTGATATTGTTTTTGAATGGTTTTCAATGGGAATTAGGGAGATATTTATATATGTAAGTAAACCCCCAATGTGAATTTTTTTTTACATCTGACCTACCATTTTCTTTCCTGGACATGATATTTCTAGTCATGGTTTAGTTATGCCCACAATTACAATTGTGAATTCTATGTGTAATTCCACTCATGTTCTTGTGCAGGAATCTTCTTACTGCATTTCAGGCATTCTGTGAATGTGTTGGTGATCTTGAGATGGGCAAGGTAGACAAAAGTTTAAAATTACTCCACGTCAGGGATGTAAACGGTCTTGTATGAAAATTAATATAAAAAATATTCCTTTATCCAGATTTTAGCTAGAGATGGAGAACTATCAGAAAATGAGAGGTGGATTAGTCTCATTGGAGACATTGCAGGCTGCATATCTATAAAGCGACCAAAAGAGGTAATATAATTTCAAATATACTTAAACTAGTTATATGCATTATTATTTTCACTTTTAAGAATATACACTTACCAAGAATATATCTAGCATTTAACCTTCTGCTTTCAGTCTGTACTGATAGAAAAGGTGTACCTTTGGGGATTAATTGTTTTTCTTGGGAGTGTTTTTGTAAGAAATGTATGCTCAGTGAAGTGTGAACATGATTGACAAACTTTCTTTCCTTGTTGGAAACATAGGTACAAAATATTTGTCTATTTTTAAAAAACTCATTGGATCGACCGCAAAAATATCATAGGGAAGCTGCAGCTGCTGCACTATCAGAATTTGTTCGATATAGGTGCGTATAGAATGAATTTTAATAATTTGCCACCCTTTGATGCTGCAATGTTTTATAGTGGCTTATTTGGTTGATTTCTCTTAATAAAAGTGTACTTTTAATTTTTAATTTTTTTTTGGCATATTTTTGAGAAATAAAATGAACAATCTATCTTAATGCTTTTTTCAGAAACAAGTATTTTCTAATAGGACAATAACTCCTACAAATCATTTTTCCTAAAAGAAAACTTAAAACCAAAGGGCCGTAAGTTTCATTCTTGACATGTCTTTTATTATATGCTACCAAGTTTCATTCTTCATTTTAATGGGATGGAAATATGTAAACAAGAAAAATGAATGTAATGGTGTAATTTTCAGGAAGTGATGAAATAAGTTAAAAACTAATATCACTTGATGTGATAGACCAAACGTGATGCATGAAAACTTGCTTGAGAATCGTTTAAGTGTTAACCACGATGATCCTTTGATTCAAAAGAGTAATTTCTTCAAAGTTGATTTCCTCTTTTTCTCAACTATGGAACAACTAATGATTGCTGAGTTATGAAAGAGCCCAACTCATTTTCCATTTATTTTTTAGAAATATATATTTTAATTGATTATCTTTAATATGTGATCCGTTATATGGTTAAGGGTTTTTTAGTTTGTTTTAGGATCAATTTAATCGATTAAGTTTAGTTCATAATCAATTAAAACTATTGGAGATCCCACATTGACTAAAGTTATTACTAACTTATAATATATAATTGAGGTATAACCTCATCTTAAGTTGGTTTTGTAGAGTTAAATATGTACTTCTCCATTTCTAATATGATGAGAGTCTATCCTAGTGAGATTTGTTGGTCTATCACTTCACCTATAATGAGGCCGTTGTCTGATTACCCTTTAATATTTAGTTCCATGCTTTCAAGATGTTCATTCTTCAATGTGAACGGGTGTGTTCGATATTTCATATCCACTAGAAATATGGTTAATTTATAATATATAATTCAGGTGTAAACCTCACCTTTAAATTTTTAATAATGTCTAAGAACTTCATATTGCAATACTCTATTGGTTTTAGAGATTTTCAAGTTTTTTTTTATTTACAATATAAAATTCACAATGAGATTCATGATTAATGGAAGTGAGAACTAAATATGTATCAAAGATGTGAAGAGTGAATATATCAAGGAGAAATATTGCTGGGATCAAACTTCACCAAACTTGCTCCCATAAGTATTTTTCAATAATACACTTGTTAACTTATATCACTAATTATCAATCCCTTAATTATTTTAGATCCCAAGTTCCTTTGTATAAATATTGATTCTTCAAAAGTCATCTAAAGAAACCAGCTTTAAGAATACGAATGAAGACAACCAATTAACAAAAAATTATTCCTAGCAATCTAATTCATTAGGTGATCCATTTCATAACATGATCAATGATTATTTTCCAATGAATCTTTAGAATCTAGAATCAAGTTATGGTTTTTCAAACGTTAAAAACATTAAGAACAAAAATGAATCACTAACATTAATGAATGGTGAAGACCATATATATAAAAAAGAATTCAGAAGAGTTACAGTTTGATTACATTTGATCCTGACAAAGAAATACTTGGTTACCCATGGAGGATAACCAACCCAAAATTATACATCAGATAAAGGGAAAGAAAAAGATCTTCTATTAGGTTCTATGACAGAAAGAACCTACGGTTCCACACAAACTCACGTCTCTCCTCTTACACACACAGGAAACAATACTCACAAGTACTTTTATTATTGCTTTTAACATGAACAATACTCTGATTACAATCAACAACTTCCCCTCACAGGATGTAATGATCCTGTTAGTGAACTAACTTCCCAAAATAATACCCCTCTCTCACCCCTCCAACAGCTATATATAGTCTTATTTAAAAACTATGCTCTGCCACCCATAACTAACTATAAGTTAGTTATTATTAATTTTTTCCTCCTAACATATACTTTCCAATTCCTAACATTACCCCCTCCTGGCCCAACAACCTTGTCCTCAAGGTTGAAATCAGGAAATTGATATTGCATAGTAGCTTTGTCCTCCCATGTTGCTGCTTCAGGTCCTCCATTCTGCCATTGCACTAAAACTTGTTGTACAGACTCCTCCTGTCCTTCCTGATGTATGCATCTCTTGTCAAGAATCTTGTAGGGTAGACAAACTGTAGTTTGACCCTGTAAAGCTTCTGGTAGGTCTTGTTCAACAGGATGAGAACCTACTGCTTTCTTTAGTTGGGAAACATGGAACACCGAGTGTATCCGCGCGGTGTCAGGGAGTTGGAGGTAAAAAACAACCTGGCCAATTTGTCGTAGAACTAGAAAGGGGCCATAGTACTTGGCCGAAAGCTTTGGATGTAATCTAGTTGGCATAGACACTTGGCGATGAGGACGAATTTTTAAGAACACATAATCCCCTACGCGAATAGATGAAGGTTTTCTGTGCTTGTTTGCAAACTTAGTCATTTGCTGTTGAGCCCGAGTCAAATGGTACTTAAATTGCCGTATTGCTTCATCTCTCGCCAACAAATCTTGGGCTACTGCCTCTACTGCTGTTTCTCCTGGGACAAAGCGGTGTAAGGAGGGTGGTGACCTACCATAAACCACTTCAAAAGAGGTGGTTTTTACTGCTCCCTGGTAACTAGTATTATACCAATACTCAACCCATGGTATAAACTGAGACCACACCTTAGGTTGTTCAGAGCTAAAGCACCTTAGGTATGTTTCCAAGGTCCTATTTAGAACCTCTATTTGTCCATCCGATTCTGGGTGGTATGCTGTGCTCATGTTGAGCCTAGTGCCCTGTAAATGAAATAGTTCTTTCCAAAATAAACTCAAAAATGTGGGGTCCCTATCACTTACAATACAAGCTGGTATCCCATGTAACTTAACCACTTCCTTGACGAAAACTTCTGCAATAGTTCTGGCTGTGTAGGGGTGTTTTAAAGGAATAAAATGACCATACTTGCTTAACCTATCCACAACCACCAAGATTGCATCATAACCATTGGATTTGGGTAGGCCCACTATGAAATCCATGCTTATATCCTCCCACACAACATTAGGTATAGGTAGGGGCTGCAACAGACCTTGAGTGAGGAGGCCAAGTATTTGTGCTGCTGACACACTAGACACTCAGCCACAAATTTTGTCACCTTATTCTTCATTCCAATCCAATAAAGGAATTGCCCAATCCTTCTATAGGTCCTATAAACACCCGAGTGGCCCCCTATTGGTGTGATGTGATATTCGGCTAATAGCTTGGGAATCCAGAGGGATGTAGCTGAAATAACCAACCTGCCTTTGTGGTGAAGTCGGCCTTGTTCCAAGGTAAAATAGCCATGCGAGGCAGGATCCTGACCCAAATCTTGAATAATCTTTTGCAAGACCACATCCTTCTTCACTTCCTCGGTTATTGATTGGAAATCTTGCCAAAAAGGTTTAGATATGACCCTCAACTCCTTTTCTATTTCTTCCCACTTGCGAGATAGGGCATCAACCACTTTATTAGAGGACCCAGTCTTGTAAACTATTTCAAACTCATAACCCAGAAGTTTGGCTAGCCAATTCTGCTGGTTCTGAGTTGTAATTCGTTGCTCTAATAAATACCGCAGGCTTCTCTGATCTGTAAAGACAATGAATTTCTAGCCCAGTAAATAAGGTCTCCAATGCTGGATGGCTAGAACCAAAGCCATGAGTTCCTTCTCATATATGGATTTTGTGAGAGAGGAATCTGACAGTGCCTTACTGAAGAAAGCTATAGGTTTTCTGTTTTGGGATAATACAGCCCCAACTCCACTCCCCGAGGCATCACATTCTATTGAAAAAGGCTCACTGAAGTTGGGAAGAACTAGCACTGGAGCTGTAGTCATAGCCTGCTTCAGATTCTCCAAAGCTTCCTCACTCTCCCTAGTCCACTCAAAATTTCCTTTCTTCAACAAACTTGTCAAGGGTCGTGCTATCTTACCATAATTCCTGATAAACCTTCTGAAGTACCCTGTTAATCCTAGGAATCCCCTTAGAGCCTTAATGGTTTTTGGTTTGGTCCATTTAGTTATAGCTGCTAACTTCTCCTCATCCATAGCAACTCCCTTAATAAAGATCACATGACCCAAATACTTCACTATTTGTTGGCCAAAAGCACATTTCTTTTTATTAGCATAAAACTGTTGTTGTAACAATTTTCCCAAGACCTGCCTTAAATGTTGAATATGATCCTCCCAAGTCTTGCTATAAATTAAGATGTCATCAAAAAACACAAGAACACACGTACGCAACCATTCTTGGAGAACACTATTCATGGCACATTGAAAAGAAGCTTGGGCATTAGTTAGCCCAAAGGGCATAACTAAGAACTCATAATGGCCTTGATGAGTTCTAAATGCTGTCTTAGGAATATCAGCTTCATGCATCCTGATTTGGTGGTAACCTGCTTTCAAATCCACCTTAGAGAAAAATCTGGCTCCATGTAATTCATCAATTAAATTCCTCAATTATTGGAATGGGGAATTTATCTGCAACCGTGGCCTTATTGAGAGCCCTATAGTCAATACAAAATCTCCAACTTCCATCCTTTTTTTTGACTAATATCACTGGGCTGGAGAATGGGCTGTTACTGGGCCTAATGATACCCATTTTCAACATCTCCGCCACCTGTCTTTCTATTTCAGCCTTTAAAAAATGTGGGTACCTATAAGGTCTGACATTGACAGTATTTTCACCTTCTTTAATGGGGATTCTATGGTTTACTGGTTGTTGGGGAGGAAACCCAGAAACATCCTGAAATAACCCACTGAATTCTTCTAAAACACCCTCCAATTCATCTGTCTGTCTAGTGGTTAAAACTGTTTTTCCCTTCTGCTGGCCCCACCTGCTGCCATTTCCCATAATATAGTTATGGCCTCTATATCTGTCTCCTTTATCAAAGCCTGCGGAGAAATCAATTTTTTGGTAAGGGTAGGGTCACCTCTTATCTCAACTTGTTGTCCTTCCCACCCAAAATTCATGGTTAACGATTTCCAATTAACCTTCACTTCTCCCAATGTTGCCAACCATGCCATCCCCAATATCAAGTCTACTCCACCTAGCTCAAAAAGGAAAAAGGTTTCCTGCACTTCATAATTACTTAGGCTCACTTTAATATCCTTGCAGCACCCACTGGTTAACTTCTTTTGCCCATCCCCAAGCTTCACACAATAAGGCCTCGTCTCTTCCACTTGCAGACCTAGTTCTGCCACTAAACTTGAAGCAACAAAATTGTGACTAGCTCCACTATCAATCAGGATCAGCACCTTTCTCCCTTTAATCCACCCCGACAGTTTCATGGTGTTTGTTGGTGTTAACCCTCCTGTTGAAAACAAAGAAAGCTGCATCCTTTTATGTTCCATCTCTACTTTTTCTTTGTCCTCTTCTTCCCCTCCAGGACCCTCTTCTTCTTCATCTTCTGCCATGATGATTACTCTTAAATTTTTTTCTGGGCACCTATGACCTGGACTGTAAAGGCCCCCACAATGAAAACACCTTCCTTCCTCCCTTCTTCGTATATATTCAGGATATGGCAGATTCTTCACTCCTCTTGTTCTAACCTCCCCTATAGAAGTATTTCCTACCTTGGACCCCCATGAAATATCCCCTGTCCCCTTCCTGGCAGTACTGTTATTACTGGGCACTCCTTGGGAAGAACTAGATCCTTTAAAGGTCTCGGTTCTTGATATCTTGCTCATTCCTCCTTGATAACGGAATCCATAAGTTTTGTTCTGGTACACATTTCCTCCTCCTCCACTTGTTTCTTTCATGACATCTTCAACATCTCTTGCTACCTCCATAGCTCTTAACAAATCCTTTGGGTCGTGAGGCCTGATTTGTTTTCGAATTTCAGTTCTTAGTCCTGCCAAAAAATATCCAAGAAGCTGGTCTTCCTCCATAGCTGGGATCTGAGACACTAAAATTTCAAATTCCTGAGTATATTCTTCCACACTTCCTCCTTGTTTAATGGCTGCCAATCTCTCGAAGGCTATACTTCGTTCCTTTCCTCCAAACCTTCTATTCAAAGCCACAGTGAATTCTTCCCAAGAAGGATTCTTGGTTTTTTGTTTCCAAAATCTGAACCAATGATTCACATTCCCTTCCATGCTGATAAAAGCCAGACGCAATTTCTCTCTTGGATTGATCTTTTGAATCTCAAAAAATTTTTCCGCCCTTCCAATCCACCCCACAGGGTCAGTTCCTTCAAACACAGGTAGATCCACCCTCTTCACCCACTGTCTCTGCACTACTTCTTCTTCCTCAGAATCTTCTTGCTCCAATCTTCCTCCTATCCCCCCTTGTACCGAATTTTCACTCTTAGATTCTTTGTCACTTTTCTTGAAATTCTTGAGTAAATCTTTCATTTCTTGAATGACATTTCTCAACTCTGTATTCACTTTTTCTTGTTCACTGGTCCACCGTTTAGCCCACCTTTCCAGCACTCCTACTCTTCCCTCCATAGCTCCTTGATTTTGGATCCGGCAGGTCAGACCAAATTGTTAGGTTCTGTGACAAAAAGAACCTATGGTTCCACGCAAACTCACGTCTCTCCTCTTACACACACAGGAAACAATACTCACAAGTACTTTTATTATTGCTTTTAACATGAACAATACTCTGATTACAATCAACAACTTCCCCTCACAGGATGTAATGATCCTGTTAGTGAACTAACTTCCCAAAAATAATACCCCTCTCTCACCCCTCCAACAACCATATATAGTCTTATTTAAAAACTATGCTCTGCCACCCATAACTAACTGTAAGTTAGTTATTATTTAATTTTTTCCTCCTAACATATACTTTCCAATTCCTAACATCTTCAATGGATGCTTCCTAACCTTCAAATATGTTTCCTCTTCTAGCTCTCTCACTCTGCAGTTGTCTCCTCTTCTACTTTCCAAAATTTAAAAATAATTATATTTATGTTGTTGATGGAGGACCATAAGTTCTTCTTCCAAATCACTGGAGCTAACATTTTTTATAATTCCACTGAGTGGATTTGTTATAATGTCACAAAGCAAATCTTCAAAACTCAAAGTGCCTAGTTCCTGCCTCCATGGGATTTGTTAAGTGAAAATTGTTTTGGTTAACGAATTTAGCTCTAAAGAAAACCCATCTTCTTATTTTTTTTTTTCACCAAGTAAAATTGGATTCATCTAGTGAATTGGCTACAGGTCTAAAAGGCATACTCTCCATCCTTTCATTTGCTCATTTAAAATGGATTCGTTGAGTAAGTCCCTTGCTGCCTGAATCATTTTCTCTTATTATGTTTGCTTAGCAAAATTGGATTCCCATTCCCTCAACATCGCCTTGGCCTTTTTATATCCTGGGCTTCCCGCTTAGTGATTCACTGGGTGAATCTACTCATGCACTTAACTTTGGCTTGGTTCGTCCTTGCAGTTAAAACAGACAAAGGATCAAAATACATTAACTACACTTCTTGTTCAATTTTGCTTACTTACAAAGTTTTCTAATAAAGAAAGGTAAAAGAAAAATATAAACATAGGAGTTTTCATTCAATTGCTTCTCAACTGTGCTCATCAAAGAAGTAAAATCACTAATTAACAATGCTTGATTGAAGCTTCATGATGTAATCCATCGACATGACACAAAAGTTAATCTAAACCTAGATTATATATAGTCAAGGCCACCACAACCTAGTTTGAGGCATATGTCCAAGTATCATCAATAGGGGCTTTTGGGAACAATAATGAAAAGTTGGAGATGTCTAGATAAACTTTGATAGTATATATATATATATATATATATATATATATATATATATATATATATTTTATAGGAACTTCGAAAGAACCACTATAAACCCCACATTTCAAATGTGGGAGTCAATTCGGTGCAATAGCCCAGTGATCAATCCATGTGAACACTACAATCTTGACATCAAAATATGTGCCACTTGGTTGCAGCTAAGAGACATTGTTTCTGACTCAATACCAATTGATAGGAACCTTGAAAGAACCACTCACCAAAAGCAAGCTATTAGTTGGAGAGCCCAAAGCCTTATGAACCCTACACTAGAATCCCATGCTTCCAACGTGAGACTCAAGTCACATAACTTGTAATTGGATTAGGGCTATTGAGAAAAATAAATGGGAAATTAGAGATGTGTTGATAAACTTTGGTAGTATATAATTTTTTGATAAGAACATTGGGATAACCATTATAAACTCCACACTTCAAATGTAGGACTCAACTCCTGGCAATTAGATAATGACATCTCCATTACAGATTCACAATCCTAATGCCCATGCATGTTGGTTGTGCACTAGCCCATTGGCTAATCTTTGCGAACACTACAATCTGAACATCACCACCCACAACTTGTTTGCAGCTAACATACATTGTCCAGACTCTAATACGAAATGATATGAACCTTAAAAGAACCACACACCAAAAGCTAGTTATTATAGGTTGGAGAACCCAAAGTGGTATGAATCCTACCTTAAAACCCCATACATACATGAGACTCAAGTCACATAACTTGTAATGGATCCTAACACTTTCATTTTAAAATAGTTTCGTATTTAGTACATATATAGAATATTTTATATTTGCTAAAATAACATTTTGTTTTAAAAAATCATATATATTGGTCTTATTAGTTATGTGGCTCTAATCCCACCCTTGAGCCTGTATTAAGACCGCTCCCAAAGAAGCTGCAACTAAGGTGGGTCAGGGGTGATCACAAGCAAGGCAAATTTTCAACAAATTGAAAAATCTTGCCAATCAATCAAACAAATTATCATTTCTTTAGCATGGAGTAAACAATATTTTATTAAAATTATTTAATTTCTAAATATTTTTGTTGATAAATAAGAGAGAATATTTTGAAATTGTGACTGTAAAACTCCTTACCGAACAATAGTTAACATCATTACAATTTATAAGAGAATAAATTCTAGTTAGTATAATTATTTTAGTTTATACAGTAGTAACCAACTTGTCTGGTTAGTATAACTATTTTAGTTAGACAATTATAACCAACTTGTAACTACTTTGCAGTATAAATAAAACACTGTAAACAAAGTCTAGTAGGGAATTTATATATTCTAATACAATAGAATTTTTAAAATAATATTATGGATGAAGTCATCCATTGACAATGTTTCTTTTTAACTTCCAATATTTGGAATATTGCAGTTTATCAATCACCAGTTTTCCTTTTTCCCTTTTTGTGACATATTTTGACTCTTCCAATTATATAGTGGTGGACTTGGTTCACTCTTGGAGCAGATGGTTGAGGTTTTATGTCGGCATGTATCAGATGACTCTTCAACTGTTCGCCGATTATGCTTACGAGGATTAGTGCAGGTCTTGTGTTTCATCTATGATACTTTGTCATGAATCATTTCACCATGCTTTCTTTGTTTTCAAGATTATTTATACGAATTTAACCAGTTTAAATGCTTGATTGCTTGCCAATTATCTTCTCTTTTTGCAAATAATTGATTTTCCTATATGAGAAATGTGCTTGGTTGCTTTCCAATATCTACTCACGTAACTTAGTGTTCATTTCCTTTAACATGAGGATTACCTTCATATTCAAAAGTATTTGTTGAAAGAGAAAAATATATGCAAGGGATGCTGTAAACTGTGTATGGACTATACAATAGAGTGCATTCTATATAAACTGGTTAAAGTAAATACAAATAACTATTTCTATATACATGATATAATATTCCTATAAATCAAATTCTAATGAGTTTGTTTATAATTAGATACCTTATAATTATAAATATCTTATTTAAATAAGGAAACAAATCATAAAATGTAAACGTGTAAATTGTGAGATAATTGAAGATACTCTAATATATTATAAGCTAATATGAATTGATATTTCTAATACTCCCCAAGCTAAACCTAACCAGCTTTCAGAATTGGAAAGTCTATTTTCCAAATCGTATGTGTGTGTGTGTGTGTTTTCTTTTGTGTGTACATGCACAAGCCCATATGACAATTTTTTTGGTTCATCACCATAGACCATTATCCGCTATTGATGACATTGATCTGATATGATCATTGAATTATGGCATATTTTATGAGTTAGTTTTTCAATTCCAGGGAGTAGATCTTTATCCACTTTTACACTTCCCTTCTAAATCACCAAAATTGAAATTGCAGATCCCATTGATTCATATACTGAAGTATACAACCCAAGTCTTGGGTGTAATATTAGCTCTTCTAGATGATTCAGATGAATCTGTTCAATTAACTGCTGTATCATGCTTACTAATGGTGAGGTTCTTTACTGTTGTATTACCTTTTTATCAATTCTGAGTTCAGAGTTTGATTGTATTTACTTATTTATTCATTCTAAGTTCAGTTATTACGTTGTTTTTTGGCTGCTTCTAGATTCTCGATTCTTCACTTGATGATGCAGTTGAGCCCATCTTGCTTAATCTTTCAATAAGGCTTCGAAATCTTCAAGTATGTAAATTTACTCTCTTAATGTATCATTTTGATTTTGTTTATTTGTTTTGGTTCTTAATGTTTATTAGATCGTTATTATACTATGAGAATTGTATAATTTCATCTTGAATCCAATTAGCATTAAGTTTTCCAACAAAAATATAAATCACACTCTAAAAGTTGAGATAGACAATGTTAAACTTCTCAATGCCCTTCCTCCACAGATACCTGCCAAATCAAAAGAGCTTATCACAATAAGCGATTTACTAAGATGAGCTATAGGCTCTAATATCATGTCAAATATCATCGTGACATTAATTGAAGCTCTTAAATAAATATATAAGCTACACTCGAATAAATAAGTAATGTGAGACCTCCCGTCACAAAATGAGAGAAAGAATGAGTGTTTGAATGCTTTCACTCATTTTTTTTTAATTATACACTCTGATATTTATAAACAATGAATCCTAGTTGACATTAAGTTACAAGTCGTAATTTAGCCTAACTAACTTAACATGGGTTCTGGAATCTTCTAACTAATCTATGTATTAACAGGTATTCAACTGAGTTAGGACAAGTTATATGATGCAAAGCCAAACTCTAGGCAAACTAAGGTTTATAAGAGGTGGCCCAAGACAGATGATGCACCTAATTAGGTTATGAGGTTTATTGGAAATCCGCCTAAATTATGATTACTTCCAGCCTGCTTTAATCGTTGCCTGTTAAACTTGGTTGTCAGTGTCTTATTTATGCTACCTACGAAGTTGTTGACTGAAATGGCTAAGAGGAAGTGTCGGAGTGTGCAGTCGATGGGATGTCAAGAGACTAGAGATAGTTTAGCTAGGTTTTCAGGCCTATAATGGTGCAAAGCATGCCCTTCCCACAAAAAGGTCTGCTGTAGCGGACAGGCCTAATGTAGTGGAGCAGTTTAGTGTAATGACCGTAGGCAAACCAAATAGTTGCCATTGTTTGATGATTCCAAAAAAAATCCCTCTAAAACGAGACATTAGGGTTTTTATGGGGATTTAGATGTAGATAGTAAAAATGATAGAGAAAACTACAGGGTCTGCTGTAGCAGACAGGGCCTACAGTAGCGGAGCAGTTTAGTGTAATGACCATAGTAAACCAAATAGTTGCCATTATTTGTTGATTCCGAAATATCCCTCTAAAAAGAGACTTTAGGCATTTTATGGGCATTTAGATGTAGATAGTGAAAATTATAGAGAAAACTTGGATTTAGATGTTGATTGATAATTCCTATCCAAAAAACATGTATTTGACTTTTGTTGTTATTTATATGTATGTTTCATTAAAGACACCAATGGTTATTGGTAGATATGAATGTTATTAATTTTGAGTAATTTTTATCATTTGTTAAAACTTTTTATTTATATAGTATACATTATATATACTATAAAAATTTTCAAAATAATAGTTATCTTGCTGTAGTTTTTGGAGTCTGCCGCAACACACTGCTATTCAGAATTTAAACATTGTGTCTAATTAGTTTTTATAAAGCTTGGGGAATTCTAACTGGGTAGAGCACAATAAAAGTGCTAAGGCAACAATGTTGGCTTCTAAAAGCAATCACAATGAAGGCAGGGATGGGTAAATTTGAAGCTTTGCTACTAAGTCAAAGTAAGAAGTGTGAATACTAAGTGGAAATCCCACATTGACTAAAGATATAGTCTTATAATTTTTAACTGAGGTGCAAACCTCATCTTTCAAATCAGTTTTGTAGGATTGAATTTGATACATATCCATTTTCTTAAATTGTTGGAGTTCAAGTATGAGTTGGAGTCTTCATAGTGTGTAGAAATAAAAAAGTTGAACAATATATAAGTGAAAATGATCTACAAACCTATTGTCTTATGGCTATGGGTTAAAAGTGGTGCCGTATTATTTTATATGATTTGACTTGTGGTCCATTAATGAATTTCTCCCGTGTCTCCCCTTGAAATTATCTAAGAAGCTGTATCAGAGCAAGCGATGATGATCCTTTCTAATGTTATTAGAATATCTATCCTAACTATTACAGATTATATATACAGATAATAGAAATATTCTATCCCCAATTTAGGGAACTTTACATATTTATATCAGATTCCATTATGAAAACAGTAAATCAGCCTCTGTTTTTATTTTATTTTCTGGTATCTATCACTATAGTGATCATTAGGGCTTGCACTTGTTCTCAGTGAGGTTGACAAAGAGCAAATCTGTCAACCAATCTTAGTTTGTCCTTAAAGATGGAGAACTGAAGAGGTGAGGGAGCTTTGGTTGTCTGCATTCTGGTCGGTGGCATGATAGTGAGTTACTGACTCTTTCTAAAAGTAACTTTTGTCAAACAATAAAGGTACCTTATTCCATATGCTTGTTCCTTATATATAGATCTGGATTATGAGATAGGGACCGGTCAGATTGTCGCTTAAAAAACATGGGATTTTGGATGGGAATCTGCAGTTCAATTAGAAGCGTTTTCAGCTGCAGTGTTGGCCAGACTGCAATATTTTCAGTTTCAGTGGTGGATCAAACTGTCAATTCTGCTTCTTTATTTGAACACCAGCAGACCTGATTTGGACCAAAATCTTATGGTGTCGTTGGCAATTGCTGAATGCAAAATGTGAGAGACAAGAGCACAAGAATCATCAGAAGAGGTGGAAGAGTACCCAAAAATGCGGAATGTAGGGATGAAACTGTTGTGACTAACCATCATGTCATGGGTATGGAAAGGGATGTTAGCTAGTTGGTTACAATTAAACACAAAAATAGTGGGGTTTTGCGTTGGGCTGGAGAACTATACAGTGAATCCACATGTGGCAAGGCTGGGCCAGAAAGGGTCATTGGAAGGAGCCCTTTGCTAGATGTATAGTCATATAGTGGCTACTGTTCACAGTGCGTCATAATGTGAAAAACAGGATTGAAAAAAAAAAATGTAGTTAAGCAACCTTGTAGAAAGTGTTTAGTGAATGTCGTGTGTAGTAACTATACCCTTACTTCTCTATTTATAATGGAAGTAAGGGAACAATAGAGGATACAAAAATTCAATCAAATCCCTAATATCTAGTAATTGGATATCTCCCTCTCTCTGTATTTACATATACTAAATGCACAAATTGAACAAGAAGTCAGTCGTGCACTATCTAAATTAAAAGTATAATTTATGTGTACTTGTATATAATATAACTGAATAGGTACTTTCTTCTTGCTTTTATAATTTTCTATGGATATTTTACTCTCTCCCTTCATATTACTAATTTGTTTCTGTAAAAGAATAGAGAACTTTATATTAACTAATCTTACTTCAGAAATTCTTACCACTGTTTGTTAAAAAACAGGCAAGCATGAATGCAAAGATGCGGGCCACTTCTTTTGCAGTATTTGGGGCCCTAAGCAAATATGGAATTGGGGCACTAAGTGAGGCGTTTGTTGAGCAGGTTTATTGTGAACTCTTATAGTAATAGTAGCTTTTATTCTACTGTCTTTGTCTCTTTTTTCTTTTTCTTGTTTAAAATTATGGACTCATGCTATTATGTAATTCATGGTTGTCAATAATGGATATCTGTATAATGGGAATAGCAAAAGGCATTTATATTTTAATAGAAACTTGTTCTTTCGGGGCACTATTTACAATTATTTCTGTTAGTATCCATTTTTGTTTGTTTACTATTAGGTGACGTAACTACTTAATTGCAACTTTACCACGAACTTATCATTGTGAATGCCATTTTGGTTAACTTACAAAATGACAATAAATAGATGTTGGGTAAAAGCATAAGAAAGAAAATAGCCACATTTAGGCTTGTAGTTAACAGACTATTTTTGCTTATTTTTTCCAACCAATTATTTGTAGAATTACCTATGCTAACTCCCCGAGCTAGGTACAATTCCCAGTTCCCTTCAGCTCCTCAACTATTTTCCAAATACAGAACTTCACTCTTATCTGCTGTGTAGTGATACTAAAAATTATGCAGTGATTTGTTTATCTGATAGTCTTAGACTCCACATATTCCAATTTAAAGAGAGTTTTTTACCCAATAACCAGATTTGGAATGTTCAACTTGGAAATTTTAGGACCTTGTAAAATACTTCATTAACTATCAGGGAACACGTGAATCAAAATAAAGGAAAACAAAAGGTTAATCTAGACCATAATGTATGGCCTTCCAGTAGGTACATCATACTGTGTATCTTTGTTATATAACCAGTGTCATCGTATTGGAAAAAAATCACATATTCTTTGAAATATTATGAACCAAGTTGGCAAGTTTATCATAGAGTATTCCAAGGTGATATTTCTTTCATAATTTGGTGAACCTTTTTATTGCATAGTAGACCAACTGAACTGGTGATCATCATGTATTAGCTTCTCTTAATATTTCACCAAGCTCATTCCATGTCAATGATTGTTTTTAAAAGGTACATGCTGCCATTCCTCGCCTGGTCTTGCATCTTCATGATGAAGATTTTAGTGTCCGATCAGCCTGTCGGGTAATTGGTCATCATCTTGGATTTTCTTGAATTGGAGATTTGTAAAGAAACATCTTACATGATAAATCCTATCTTTTTGAAATGTACTGTCTGATAGAATACCCTGAAACAAGTTTTCCCATTGATGGAAATTGAAAGATTGCTCGCCGTACTAAACACACACAGTTTCCTTTCTGATCATCGGTATGATTTGACGGATTGTAAAGTTGCATAGTTCGTTATTATTTTGAAGAATTTAAAATGAATAATATGACAACTGGTGTCTTTTGTGTATTTAGAAGTGATTATGAGGACTTTCTCCGGGACATCGCAAAGCAATTTACTCAGCATCTCCCCTCCAGAGTTGATAGTTATATGGCATCATCAGTGCAGGTTCTTGTTCACAATTTCTGTTATAACACAAATAGTCTTGATTTTTTTTACTGACTGAAATTAAGATTACGAGTGTTTGGATTAACTTATTTTTGTGCTTCGAGATGATTTTATAGCCAAAACTTGAATCTTAATAAACGAGACAGCATTTGAATTTTTTTTAAAAGCAATTTTGATCTCGAAGAGTTTAATATTCATGTAGTATCAGTGTAAATCTTTTATACTATTTAGAAATCATTTTAGGTTTGACTTTTTTATAGTGATTATCATAAAATGTTATAAACCTACCATAGAAAATTGTGATCGGATGACCATGTAAATTTACAGTGTTATTGCATTCTAATTATTTTCTTCTCCAGAAATTAATCAAATTTGAACATGCACTTCTTTTGTTGCTCCATTCCAAAGCAATCACTTTCTATTTGTATCGAATGAGTTGTAATCATTTTTATTTTTCCATTATAGTTGAAAGAATAAAATGTTTTCTGTAACAAAACCTATTTGCATGGTTCAGAAGTAGATATTATACCTCTTTTATACATGTATATATAAGTTTCATCTTTTCTTTTTTGAGAGTTATCTGCATTGTTCAATCATGATCTGTCAACTGTGGTCAAATGTGTAAGCATATTAAGATTGGAAAAAGGGCCAATATATCTTGGATCATTATCTAATTCATGCATTTTAGCTGGATTTTCTTTTCATGGACTTTCTACTTGATAATTTCCCCATTGCAAGTAAACGCGTAATTCTTCTACAAGAACGCCATTAGAAATCTCAATCCAGTAGTTTGTGTTGTGAATAATTTTTCCTTCTGTTTAAATGTAAGGCCTTGAGAGTTGATTTATTTATTTGCTTTCTTGGTGAGGCAGGCTTTTGACGCACCATGGCCCATAATTCAGGCAAATGCTATATACTTCTGCAGCAGTATGCTCTCTCTATCGGACAATCAGCATATTTTAGCTGTCTATCATTCACAGGTATTTGCCGGACGCTGTCGCAATTTTCGGGTTTCAGCTGAAACTTAGTTTCACCAAATTTGTCTGTATCTTCTTTAGGTCTTTGGTATGCTGGTGGGGAAAATGAGTCGATCACCTGATGCTGTCGTTAGAGCAACATGTTCTGCTGCACTAGGCTTGTTGCTGAAATCCTCCAATTTATGTTCATTGGTAGACTCAACATCACGGAACCATGATGCAGAGTCCACGAAAAACTAGCAACAGCTCTAGATTATATAACTGAAGTCATGCCATGAGCTTTTTAAGTAATGGTTGAGTGGAATGGCGTGCTGCTCTGCATATTTGTCATGTCAAAGCAACCTGGCTCTTGGTCGATTCCGTTGACGTTCGTGTACAGTGTTTATGTTAGAAATCTTCTTTTGTATTCTATTCTATCCCCTTTTCCTTCAAGTATTTTTATTTTATTGTAGGAGCTTGAAATGGAACATCGATTTTTTTTCATTTTCCTTTTAAATGTACATTTATGTTAGTGTTATGATCGTGTAAATTATTGTATATTAATTTACACTTGAAACAACACCACGGGACACTTTTTGGATTTTCATTATTTTTTTGTTATTTAAAAATTAACGGTGTACAAGTACAAACAGCTAACCAAGGTATTTGAATGTTTTGGTGCTCTTCTGCTTTTCTCTCTCTGCTTATTTCTTTCTACGAGCAACGGCATATATGTTGTCCTAATATATAAGTTAACAATTTTTATAAATAATTGAATGATATGGTAATAATAGACTAAAATTGTTTTATGTTGTTAGAAGATTAGAACATCTTATATAAATTATTCATTCACGAAATAAACCGTGCAAAATATATCATGGAATCTTGATCCCAGAATATATTTTTTCTAAAATGTTCTAAAAATTGTAATCTATCTAAATTTTTCAATATATTTTTAATAGTATTTTTTAAATTATATTTTAAAAGATTATGTTTGTTATTAAAGAAAAATATAAGAAGCAATTATAGTTATGTAAAAGCAAAAGCATGAAATTCCATTGAAATGGAAAGAGAGGAAAAACCATCCAACGAAATGTTTTTTCATTAAGGAAAGTGATGGAACGATGGAGAAAGTTGTTCCAAATACAAGCAGGCAAGTAAAAGACCATCTAACGACTTGTTTGGTCCATTCCTGCCGGAAGAGCCGAACAGCCATTGATAGTTGTTCCAAATAGGATAGGATCAAAATTATTCAAATATGATACGATTTTTTTATAAGCCTTGCTACCTCCAACTCTTTGATTTTACGAATTATAATTGCTTCTTACATATTTCTTTTATATTTTAAAACAATTTAGAATATCATAGGTCTCCATCAGGTAAATAGTTCTATCGCTTAAGTGTGCGATGAAGAATTCAAGCTTATATATGTCTAAATAGAAAAATATTTAGTGCAAGATACCAATTGTTTTAATAAATTTTGATATTCAAAATATAAGTTCTATCAAAAAGAAATTAGTCATTATCTCTCGATAATTGCAAGATGAAATCTGGAAAATATCTTCGACTTTAATAATAATTGAAGAGCAAAAGATTCTTGTGTTTTTTTTTCCGGAGAATATTGTCTTTGTCTTAAAATCTTAATAAATAATAATATTTTGATACTTTTTACAATAATTTCTTATGAAGTATGCAGTTATAAGTCAAACTGCACAAATTCTACCCCCAATATTTTTTTATATAATTAATTAATAATTAAAATTAAACTTTATAAATTTTACCAATATTGTTTCATTTATATAGGATATATTTTATATTTTTAATCAAGTGATCTAATATTTTAATATTAAGAATATTATTTTGAATATGATGAAATAAAAGAAATATTTATCTATTTTTAAAATTTAAAGTTAAAAATAATGTTATATCCTTCATTCGTCACCAATTCCTATAAATGTTAATCTCACAATAATAACTAATATCTTCCTACCATTACTAATGAAATTTTGAACGTCTGTGCTCCTCACACTGAGATGGAGGTAGAGGTGGCACAGATAAATACAGAAGTAACGAGGCAAGGAGAAGATAAAGATTTACGTACTTAATATTTTTCTCTCTCTGAATCTTCTCCATCACTCTGAATTAGAATGGCAGAGTCATATTTCCATACTCGTTTATTTACCTTACTTTTACACCAATACATTGTTATGCTTAAAAGAGGAAAGGAAAATAAACTTGAATTTGACTTTCTCTTAATCATGTAAGATTTAATCCGTTGTCTTCAGTGACTCACTATTTCATTCCTCCACATCACCTCAAATCCACTATAATTTATCATCAACAATAAAACATGTGTTCTAAACAAGGACTAGGTCAGGGATAAAATACAAAATTGAGTGCGAAAATGATTTGTCTTTGTCAATCACAACTTATTTGATTATTATGTTTACTGTTGTTGAGTACATTGTTTAATTTATTAAAAATTATATGACATTATATATGGTTTAACTCCCCCCGCATTATACGAAAAAAGCGTCTGTTATTTGGATTGAAATAATTGGTAAAGAGAGAAATGAGAAGTGAAAATTTTACTAGTTTGGTTGGGTGAACTAAAATGGAAGGAATCATGGGACTGATTTGTACAATTTAAATCATCTACCTTTACCCTGCATAAATATTTTATTATTTAATTTCTTCTTTAGTTCCACCGTTATGTGCCGTACACCCTGCTATTATGACAGTTTGTAGTGAACTCCGTTGAGCTTTGCTTTTTCTCGTCTCCCAATAAAATAAATCAATCGTAGAAGTAAAAAACTGTGTTCAACATCCGTTTCCAGCACCGATCAATGCATATAATAACATTAAATATATTATAACTTTGTTCCACAAACCTAAACACAACATAAAAATAATAAAATATAATTCACAAATCATCATTAAAACATAATTGAAAAGTGTAAATTCACGTCAACTTTGTATAATATAATAATGTTCTGTGTTTTATTTATTAGTAGTATCAATCAACCTAAAAAAATTAAATAAATTATAAATGAGAAAATTATATTATTATTCATTTAAGTATCACACATTTTTCATATATTAAAAAACGGCAAATATTAATCATCTATGAGGGTTTTTTATATCCATTTCAGAGAAACATATTAAATTAGTATAATAAAATTCATTTACGCATTCAAATATTTAATTTGTCACAAAATAGATTTTACGTAGGTAATCAAAGAGAAGAATGTTTCACTGTTTTATTTAGCCATATTTAGTAAAAATGAATAAATAAGTATAAGTATGGTGAATATTTACGTACCAATTATAGTTTGTGTAAGTTCTACTTGTGATCAATGCTCTTCTTTATATTCCTCCTTTCTCCAACTTTATATTTTCTTTATCTAAATATGTTTGAACAAATTCATCATAAGAGAAATATATAAATAAAATGACATTAAATGTAGTATTTTTACAATAATTTTCCATATTATGTTTGGCTGTAAGTAGATGAATTAATTGTAATGTAACTTATATAAGGTCGAATTTGACACATGAATAAGAAAAGATGTATTGATAAAGCACTTCAAATTATATATATATATATATATATATATATATATATATATATATATATATATATATATATATATAAAATGACAGTAAGACTTAAATAGAGACTAGAAGGTATAACTTAGAATTTTTGTTTTTAAATGAGAAAAATTATTTTAATATAATAAAAAAATTATAAATTTTTGTAGAAACTTTTATAATATTGTTAGTGGCAAATCGAGAAAAGCGATCGAAATCGAAGGAAAGAAATGTGACTCGATAAGATAAACAAAAATTCATTCGATGTCTAATTAGAAATACATAGCATATAGCATCGAGAAGCACAATCGAGAATCGAATGAATAATAATCAAATGATCTGTTGTCGAATAAAAACTAAGTCATGTAAGACCGGGGTTAAAAAGGAATCGTAAGCAATTCGAAGTTCTCGAAAAATACGAGAATCGAGAGTAAGGAAAGCCAACGTGGACATCGAGACTTTGGCCAAATCGTGAAAGGAAGTAAGTCAAATGCACGTATAAAGAGCGAGTTTTGAAATCATGGGAAAAAGTCGGAGATCGTGAAGAACGTGGGAAACTATAGAAGATAAACGACCATACGCACGTAGAACGTGGTAGCGATCGTGTTAACCGCTCTTGGAAGGCTTGAAGGATACCCTATAAATAGAACAAAGGAGGAAGGAAAAAAAAGGGGGGGAGGAGAAATTGGCAGAGAACAGAATCAGTAGTGACAAGTCTATCGGAGAAACGACGAACACCATGAAGCTTCTGGCAATCTGGATTTCCTTACTCACTGAGTACATTTACCGCTTTCTGTATTTTCCTTGGTAATTTACTTTGATGCAACTTAAATTCAGCAGTTTTATGTTTCTGTATTTCGATTCCTTGTCCATTTCAATTCAATGAAAATTTGAGTTTCTGCATTTAGATTTCCATGTTATTTAACATTATGCAAATCTCAATTTCCTGTCATTTACTTTTCTTGCAATCTCGATTTCTTGTCATTTATATTTGCGTTGTTTTCGATTTCTTGCTATTTACAATTAATGCAAGTTTGGGGTTTTCGCACTTTACATTTCCTCGCAATTTAACATTCTGCTTTTTCGATTCGATAGTCTTAATGCTTTCGATACTTTAAATACAAAACACCAAAAACAGCGTTTTCGATATCCTGTGATTTTCGATTCTCATACACGTTTTCGATTGAAAATCAAATTGCTAGCCTAAGTAAAAAGAGCTTACGTGGGAGGATTTCGATTAAAGACCAAAATACCCTTAGAATCGAAATCGATCGAAATTCCCCAGAAACAAATTGGCGCGCCAGGTAGGGGTGTCTCGTGTTGAGAAACACAAAATTGGTTAGTTCGAAATTGTATGAGATTAAGGAGTGGGAGGGTCATGAGTCAGAGTTCATCGAATAACCAGGGTAACAGTAAGGGATTAAATGGATCACACCCACCAAATACTGGGGGGCAAAGTCATAATGGGAACACACCTGTAGTATCGACAACTGTGAGCATGTCGATACCTGTGAGTAGTGAACAAAATTCAGGTACATTAGCAAACACCCAAGTAGGATCTAGTACGGTGATACCAAATAATATGCAAACTATAGGAAATCCCACAACCACATATGTAGGGCCACGCATGAGTGTAAGACCGCCCGGGTTTTCACTTAATAATGTGAGTG